GCTCATTTGGGTCTATATGATGAACATAGTCTCGATTCAAAAGTGATTAATCAGTTAGGAAACTTTTCAGAGTAATACGTTGCTGTTGGTCATTTGTTAAAAGTAATATATTCACTTCAGTTAAGCAAACAAAATGCACATTTAAAAAAACCTCCAACAGTTGAGTAGTATAGCAGACGAAAAAAAAAGAGACCATGATGCGTTTTATTTATATGAGTAATAAAAGAAAAAAAGAAAAATGAACTGCATCTACATTTTTCATTTGAAGTTGTATCAATCGATAGTCAACATTTTACTTTTTACGTTTTTTTTTTCACGTAACCATACAAAATGTCACAAGTGGAATATGAACAAAAATTTTGTGAAGGTAAAAAATAAAAAAAAGATTTGATCAATCAGAAAAATGTTCTTCTTTCATATTTAGCAAGAGAATTAATTACTGATAATGAACTTCGTGGTTTAGCTAATAAATATCATAATCGTCATCCAACATTTTCTATTGATATACAAGAACGAAGTTGTAAAACAATAATTTTTGCTTGTATTTATCATTATCGTCATATTGAAATAGATTTAAAATGTCAATGTATATATAATGATATATTACATAAATTTGAATACAATTGGTCAACGGATGATGTTGAATATAAAAAAATTCTTGAACATATTTTTTTACGTTTAAATTCTTCATCGAATAGACGATCACTTGATGATCAAATTGAATCAATTATTGAACAAATAACAAAATATTTTATTCAATTAAAACCAATTAAAAAAGAAGCACAGGAACAATCATTTATAACAATAAGGCACAGTTCAACATCATCATCGTTACCAATAGAAATAGTTAAATATTCACAATCACCCCAGAGTCAACGACGACATTTGTTTGATCGATCATTATCATGGTCACAATCATTAACATTATCTCCGATTTATAATGAATCTAATTCAATACTAGTTGAAAGACAAAAGAAAAATTAAAAGAAAAATAATAAATTTATTAGGTATAAAACACGTTGAATAGCACAGAAAAATGTATATGAGTTAGAACGAAGTTCAGTATTCAATGACTTATTTGAAGCTATAGATAACTGTTCTGTTAATCTTGCAATATAAATGTAAGAAGTAGAGTAAACAATCTTTTAAAACTCATCATTAATATTCACTGTCTCTTCGTTCAATATTGATTTATATAAAAAGAAAATATTCTTATTTTAGAATATATACATAAAAAAGTTTACTGTATTGTTTCTCTCGGGATTAATTCTATACTATTTATAGCTGCATTCATGTTGATTCTAAATAATACAATATACCCTAATGATAATACTCATCAAGCTAGTATAATTTGCCAGCATGAGCCCTCGAGCAATTTTTTGTTAATGAATACTGATCGTGTACTCTTACCAGTTTTTTTTTCTAAGGATTCATTTATAGTCAATGACGTATGCACTTATGTAAGGCTTTTTGCAAAGCATTTTAAAAAAATATTTGTACACTTGTATATACAAAAATAGATTGAAGTAATGGAATAACGGATAATGAAAAAAAAATATTTGAGTTTGTCCTTTATCCTTCGTTGATGAGTTATTTATACGATTTTGTTAAATAGTGACTTTGAAAAGAAAAAGCCTTTTGATTTTAAACTGTTTACTTGTCGAGTGAGATTAATCAAATGCAATTAAGCAAAAAAGCTGACAACTCTTGTAACAACACTCTGATCCTGATGATTTAGGCGTAGCTCTCTTATAGGTCAACATGATTATCTTTTGTCGTTACTGTTTTATATTTACTACAAGCTTTCAGTAAAATACATGAATAGGACAAGATATACATCCCATTTCACATATTTAATAGAGTTGTTCATGACATTGAACACAATCAATATTAGCAGTCGTCGCGTAGAAATGAATAACTAGTGCACAGACGATTATGTATACATGTATGCGTGTACCTAGACATCAAAGGTCTCAATGGGCTGAGTTGAGTGCCGTCTAGTCCTCTTCATGAACAAATGGTTCTTTTTGTAAAGAAAACAGTGGGCCAGGCTGAGTCTCAAAGGTCGATAAGTGGATTGTGGGTCAAACGAATGGATTTCCGACACCCGCACCATATTGTTATTACTAACAACGAAGATGTTTGTACTGTCCGTGAGAAAAATGGAATATATTCGGCTCAAATTAAAGCTCTCACCACCAAACTAACGAAGTTAAAATATAGGCTGCCTTGACTTGCCTAGACGAAGATAGTCGATTTTTATATTATGCACAATCTGTTAGAGGTCAGAGGTCAAAGATTAACGATAAAGACCAGCGGTTGATAAATGTCTCAAGCTCAAACTATATGACTCATCATATAACAATTCAATGAAGAGTCATGTAGTTTGAGTTTGAGGCATTTATCAGCCACCGGTCTTTATCGTTAATCTTTGATCTTTGACCTCTAACAGATTGTGCATAATTTAAAAATCGAATATCATCCTCTAGGCAAGCCAAGGGCAGCCTATATTTTAACCTCATTAGTTTGGCGGTGAGAGCTTTAATTTGAGCCGAATATATTCCATTTTTTCTCACGGACAGTACAAACACCTCCATTGTTAGCTTCTAAAACCGTTTTATTGCTGAGATATTTAAACGACAACAGAGGCACCCTACAGTCAAAAATGAGGATGATCATTGTAGTACCCATACATTGTATATTTTCCCATTTTTCAACAATAATGTTTTTAGTCATGAAATCTTGTGGGTATATGCTACCATAGATACCCTACATATTGACCAACTCAAAACTTCTTTTCAGCATGTTAAGTGGTATAGAGGGATTTCATAGGTCCTATATATCTTCCTTGCCTTGTGACCAGGTTTTCTATTGCTTATAAGCGACTTATGAGCTCCTGATTTGAAACTAAGTATTACTACCTCATAGGTATTAGCAGCAATTCTCAGAATGTTGGCTTTTTGATTTTGACCCGAACAAGTACCTCTTTTAATATATATATGAGCCATTTTGCGTAAGCCACGAACAACTTCCACAGAACTTGCTCCATCGATGGTTGCTAATTTGACTAGTTTTTACATTTGTTTTATAGAGGCAAGTGTTTGACAAACTTCTACACAAGCCGGTCAAAAAAACAATATCGTTCCGTTCTCGAGATATTTAAATTTTTCTGAGAGCACTATCGCTAAAAACAAGCACATGTTGTATTTATGCTTAATATACTCGAATTCGCTCAGAAATTGCTAGAAAAGTTTCATCATATGAAATAAGTTTCTATCTAGTATACATTAGCATATGATCCTCTATTGACTACTATAAAAAAAAAACTCTTTTAAAAGTGACAAAAAATGTTTTTGAAAAATCTCCGTAGAGGATACGGAAATTTCAAAAAAGCCTTTTCACTCAAAGCCCTGGAGAGAGACCACGGAGATTTTTCAAAAAATTGTTTTGCCACTTTTACAGGAGTTTTTTTTATAGCAGTCAATAGAGGATCATATGCTGATTTATACTAGATAGAAACTTATTTCATATGATGAAACTTTTCTAGCAATTTCTGAACGAATTCGAGTATATTACGCATGAATACAACATGGGCTTTTTTTAGCGATAGTGCTCTCAGAAAAATTTAAATATCTCGAGAACAGAACAATATTTTTTTTGCACGACTTGCGTAGAAATCTCGTCATATAAAGGATAGCGCATATTAATTAAAGAGAAGACATACACGACATGCTCAAAACGTTCACTTGAAGTAGAAGGCTGAAAATTTCATCACATATATATTTAACCAAAATCTTCAATTTTCCAAAGTTCCAGCTCTCTAGCTGAAATGAGCGTTGAAATACATAGACAAGATTAACATAAATGAATTGTCGTGGCAAATTTTTTTAATATTTGTCAATCGCGACAAACTGATTAAGAATTGTTTTAATAATATAAGAATTCATGTATGTCTAAAGTCTTTTAGATTTAATGGCAAACTTTATCTTAAAGGTTCACCAGTCATGCAAACAAGAAAAGATCGTAAATGGTTTGTATGAAATTAAAATAATCTTAGAGCAACATGAAGTCTTAGTCGCATGTTTCGTAGCATGGTTATTTCATGAACGTATAAAACCAGACAATAGCGTGCTAAATATGTAGATAAAAGAACATAGTTTTCGAAAGCAAAATGTTCATAAATGATAGACGAAATACCCTATCAATTACAATTAGTCATAGAACGCAATGGAGGGCATGTTTATACACATTGGATTCCATTAGCATTTACATTTTTTCAAAACGTATGTCTTATAAAGTTCCTTTCCATCAGATGTTTATAAATATCACTAGTCAACAAATACATTTGTCACAAAAATCGAGAACAAAATTTCATGTGTTTTAACCTTTTTTTTCAGATGACTAGATGATCTTTACGCGAAACACTGCAACATACAAGTCTACTGGCAGAGTTACAAATACTGGTGCATACAATTATTAAATCCGACTTGATTTCCTTGATGTCCAATAATTTTCCATTTCTGTAAAGTCCATACCTCTCATCAATTTTATTTCAACCAATATTTTAGAATGTTCTATGACTGATAGAAAAATTTCCGCTTGAAAATCTATTGTGAAATCATATATTATCATATAGTCACAAAATTCAATGCCTATGAAAAGGAAAAAAAAGAAAATTGACGATTCGTTCAATGTGTTATTTATTTACAAAATCTATTTGTGAATTAAAATGCATGCCTTTCAATAAAGTCTAAGAGTCTACATTAATTTTTGCGATAAATATATAGTTACAACTAAAGAGTCAGCAATAAATAAGAAGAAATTGTTGGCATAAATCTATACAATGTTATTGTTTGGTTGCTCCTTTAGCAATATATTTTCATTAAGTTCATCACTTTGTGCAACTACCGATCGTTTTGATTTGCCGCATGGCCTAAATGGAATAATGATATTATCAAAAAAAATCGCTTTTTAATAGAAGCCAAAACAAAAAAAAGACATTACCAAACAAGACCCATTTGTTCGACATCCTCAATTGTTTGTGGTAGTGATTTATTGAATGTTTCTGGACAAATTGCAACAAATGCCACTGCAGTTATGGACGTAAAGCCAAAGACGATAATTGGAAAATATAGCCATACTCGAGTCTAAATAAATCCATTTAACATTAAAAACAAAAAGGAAATTAAATTGTTTACCAAAAGATCATTCGATAATGTTCCAATAATAGCTCCTATTCGAGCAACCATTGAACAAATACCAATGCCTGTATTTCGAGCGTGTGTGGGAAATAATTCATTAGCATAGATGTATATGATAGCATAAGAACCGGAAGCAAAAAATTTAAGAATAACATTAACTATGAACATAAGACTCCGTTGACCTGTATCAAAATAGAGAACAATAAAAAGTAGAGTTTAAAAACTGTCTAATATACAATTACCATGACTGCCTCTAATCATTAATATTTGTATTGGTACAACAAGAAATGCAAATATTGCAAATCCCATTACAAATAAACAATAAGTTGCTTTTCGACCCCATCGATGAAGAACACGATGGACAATAAAATAAGCAACAATTTCTACAAGAGCACCTGCTGCAAATGATATGTATGGATTACGTAACCAAGCACCTAGAATAATTTTAAAATTTTATTTCAAAAAATCAAAAAACAATTATTTTCTCCTACTCGTATTTTGTGAAACACCATAGAAAACAAGATTTTGTACAAACCTATAATTTATAATAATGAAGCAACAAAATAAAAGCTTGTTAGTACGATCTCTTTAAACCTGAAATGTGGAGCTCATTCAATCCAAAATTTATTTGCTTATTAATAGTGATCAACATCACTGATCAGTTTTCGTGAACAAACGTGCAGCATAAACGAAGTATTGATGGATTAAAAAGAAATAGTGAATCTCCAAGAGGGAGAGTATTAAAGACCATGCGGACTGTGCAAGATGTCTCGAACACATTAGCACTACTAGAAAATGATATCACAATATTGGCTCTGCTTATTACTAAGTAAAACCATTGTCTTTAGGATATGACCACAAAAAAAATATACCTCATTACTGTTAGTGCACATATAAGTGCCTTAATTTTACACTTTTTCCTTCGCTTGCTTTTTTTCTTTGACCTTAATATTTCAACCAATGTTGTTCGCTATGCAAACTCCTTATTTTTGCCTGCGTAATTATATATGACAGCAGTATTAAAATGATTGGTTTATATCTGTGATTGCTATCGAAGACCCTTAGCCTCGCTTGTTAAGCACGGTAATAGAGGAAGCCGCAACATTTTGACTTAAAACTTAATCTTCCTATTTTCTTCGAAATTTAATGTAACATCTACAAAAAGCTTTGTTACAGTATTACCATTGGAATGACATATTAATTGCAATAATGCACATGATTTTTGACTTGAGTAAGTGAATTAATCCATGACCTTTTACTGAAACAAGAGCTTCTTTCTAAAGAAAAAACAAACAAACAAACAAAAAATCGAAAGAATGCATTTGTTTTTTTTTTCTATTATGATTAATCACTTTTTTCTCTTCTGTTACTAAATGTTGATATGCTATTGAATCAAAACTATTTTTATTGGTTTTAGCTATTCGACGAAGAATTTTTTCTGCTTCATCATAATAACCTTTCGAAATCAGCCAACGTGGACTTTCTGGTAATATACTAAATAAATCACAATTATAAGCCAATAAATAAAAGTATACATTTTTTTATATAACTTACAAATAGAAAAAAAGAAATGGTATTGATAATATAGCTAAAGCTGTATGCAATAAACGCCATGTTCGAATCATATAAGCAAATACTAAAAGAATTAATTGACCTATTGCAAAGAAATATTCAATTACAATGCCAGTAAATAAACGTTGTTTTCGTCCAACTACAAATGAAGTTATACAATATATCAATAAGTAGAAATTCAATGCACTGACTAACCTATTTCTATACCTACGAACACATAAGCAAATATAAATGCATATGTATGAATATAAAAGCATGACACTTGAATGCATACCGATAACAAAGCCAGTAAGAGCTACACCTCGGGTTGCACATGCAACTAAAAATCGGCCAACTAGAAAAAGTCCATAACTTATTTCAAAGCCAAGTTTTTGTTGTGGTGCAAATGCACATATAAGACTAGCCAAAGAGATTATAATAAAAGAAATACCCATAATGGGTCGTCGACCAAATCTTAACATATCAACATCAATGATAATTTTTTGAAAACTATTACATAAACTTACTTGTCAGATAAAACACCGAATATAAGTGAACCAATCATATAACCGAAAAAAAATATTGTTTGAACAAAACTTTTAAGTGATACTTCATTGCAAACCATTGACCACTAAAAAATAATAATTTATAATTAAAATCTTTTTTTTCTTCAATTTTATTCATTATAACTAACTTCTTCAACTAATGTTGATTGATAATAGGTTCGATCAAATGTAAAACTATTACATGCTTTCAATGGTCCATTATTTTCATCATAGGAATAACTTTTGTTTGTATTTTGATAACATCTTTGACATTCACGTAAAGATATTTGGCTTTTATATTCACGACATTGAGATTCACTTGGAATATAACGATGTAAAAGATCATCAGGAATTTCAATTTCATACATATCTTCTACTGCTATTCGACAACGAAAAGATGGTGTAGCGGCTGTGAATGTCCATGTATAAACCATAATTGGAGGAAGCATATAAGTCAAGCAGATTAAAAAATATTTGACTTCTTGATATCGACCAAATCCTCCAACCGTTTCGTAGAAATCATCAAATTGCATTATTGTTGTATACCAGCTAAACAAGTCAGTCAGCTGAAAATGAATTAGTGCAAATATGAAATACGTAGCCAAGAAAGTTGCCTATTTTCAAATCATCTGTTGTTTTTTCTCCTATTTTTTTTGTCGTTCTTCATCAAATTTGTTCGTACTCGATGGATTGATCGCTCTAAATATATCGTTAAATTGTGTAAGTTATGTATTATAATTATTGTACATGGCACGTGATTGATGGTCCCTTTCAACAATATATTTTCATCATTCGATGTTTTTCTTTTCGCTGATCAACGTATTATTAATAATTACAATATAATCAAGCCTATGTTATTTTTATTACATTTGCTTTTCAAATCAAACCTGTTTTCTGTCAATAATTTAATAATCACATAGAAACGTAGGTAAAAATAAACTGATGATGAACAATCACTATTATAAATATTTTAATAAGAAAAACATACAAAGACTATGTTGATTGCATATATTGTTGGAAATAAATGAATGCGAGATAAATAGACAAATGAAAACAAAAAGAATTACGCATAATATTATGATATTTTAAGTTCAAAATGAAGAGAGAAAAAAAAAGATTAAATAATTGCACTCAAACACCAGATGATTCATTGGGTAAAGTTACGAGTTGCTTGCCACCTTGTAGGTGTGTTTTAAATTGTTCAGGTATTGGAAATTCTTTATATTCACCATCACCAAATGGAATATTAACACTCATTTCCGATGATTTTGATGTTATAAATTCTGTATCAAGCGATGTATTTGATAAATAAATATGACAACCATCGGTTTTTTCAATTTGTATTGTTGGTACACGTTCAATAACTTGTGCTTTCATACTTTTACAATTAATAAATTCAATTAATGATACAACCGATGTAAATTGTACACCAACTTTGGTACATTGATCAAGTACAATAGAATTTACTTTACCTTCAACTAGTATTGTTGAATTCGTACATTTATATATATAAATACTGTGTCTCATATTTGTTTCAGTTATTCGTAGATCATGTTTGCCTGTTTGATATTCAACTAACCATTTATTACCTTCAAGTGCTAATTTCGGTGGTCCACCAGTTTTTGATGTTGGTATATTAACCGTCTAAAAAATATTAATTATAATATCAGGTATTCATTGCAAAATGAACTTCTTAAGATTCATTCGTTCAGACTTTTCTTATAAAAAAAAATCATCTGTTAACTCTGTACAAAATGTCATCCATATTGCACATTTTTCCATACTATCGTTAGTACTCATAAGACCTAATGGAAACGCTATCAACTTTCCATTCCAACTATAAACTATTGCAGTGAGTGTTTTCTAGTCAAATTCGAATTCCAATCAAACGAGAAGAAAAAGAAAGTTGGAGTTGATTTTGACTTTGCTTCATGCCTGGATGTTTCAATAAGATATTGTTAGAACCTTTAAAATGCATTAGTTTGTACAGTAATTATTAGAAAACAAAAATCTACTATCCAAAAAATTTTATATTTTTTAAATTAAATTTTTAGCAAAAAAATTTAGTTGATTCTATGCAAGACTCTGTCAAATACTACTAAAATATTGGATAGAAAATCTTCGGAATAGATTAGTAATTTCATCAGAACTAGTTTCCATCAATGAGAGACATTGACTACTTTATAAGTCACATTTAAATATATTGAATTATTCAATATAATGCGGTTTTGGCTATGGTACTGAATGGATAAAAGTAGAATCGAAAGACACTCTTATTGAAGAAATAAAACTTGAAATTAAAAAACTCAACGAAAATTTATTTTGGGAAAATAATTGATGTTATATAGATTCACAAAAATAAAAATATTATTTTGCAGAGAATTCCAAGAGATGTAATTGAAATATTGAAAAGTTCATTTTATATGGGACACTGAATTTTAATAAAAAAAAAAAAAGAAAAAGAAAACTTAATTTACTTCTGGTTTAGTAGTTACTTGTGATGGTGGAGTTTTTCCAGGTTTAGGTGGTACAACTGGTTTTCCATCCACAAGTTGTGCAACACCTTTCTTTCCATGTGTATGGTCGCCATGAGCAGCAGATTGATTTTCTAAAGAAAGGGTTTCAGATAATTTTGACAATTATTGAATATTTGGTACCTGTGCTTTGTCTTAATTGTGGATTTTTATGTGTTTTAAGTTCATCCGGTACTTTTTTCAAATGAACTGTTCCACCTTGTCCTAATGCATTTATGGAATTCATTAGTTCAGCACGACTATTATCAGCAGATTCACTAGCAGCAGTATCGAATAGCATTGGAGGTGGTGGTGGCGGAGGTGGTGGTGGAGGTGGAGGTGGAGCCGAAGGACCACCAGCAACAGGTTTGACTGTTGAAACACTAACTGATTCAAAATCGCGTTTGCCATGTGATCCCCATATCAAACCAGTAGTATGATGTTGTTTAACATACGTATAAAGATCATTTAATACTTTAACCCATAGTTTAACCCATTCAACATGAGTAGGATCTTTGTCTTTAAATTCCTTTAATACACGATTTGAATAAAATTGAGCTGCATCTGTCATATCTTTTATATGTGGACCAGGTGTTGGTGTAACAAGAATCCAACCAAGTGCTGGAATACCTTCAGAAACAGCCGATAAATGATTAAACAATGGTGATTTACGATTTTTGCTAGAAAAATCTATTTTAAAAACAAAAAAAGAGCAAAATCGATTTTCATTTATTATTATTATTATTTTCATTATTCGTACTTGTAATAGCTTCAATTTCACTTGATTGTGGTTTAATTACCTCCATAAGTTTTTGATCATTTGGCTTTGTACTTTGTACAGCTCGTCTTAAAAATTGTTGTTGAGCATCAAAAAGTTGTTTAACATGATTACTCATCGTTGTCAATTCTTCGCCAATTTTTTGTGAAGTAGCACAAAATGGTTTAACCGATTCATTAATTAATGTATCATAATCACGTAATACAGGTAAATGATCAACATTATTTTCTGAATTATCATTCACATGCGATTGACCACCAGTATTCGTCGATGATAATTGACTAACAACAGATTCTAATCGATTTGTTAGAGCTTCAAGACGTTTTAATTGATCGTCCATCTCTAAACAAGAAAAATAATGAAATGAATTATAGTAGCAGAGGTGCAAAGAAGGTCATTCATCTCAAGAGAGAGAACTTTTCTGCACTTTTTAACGAATAAGATAAAGCCGCGATAATGTGTAAAAAGTTTTCATATAAAAGATATGTGTTGACAAAATGAGTGGTAAACGAAATGAATCATTCCTATGAAATAATTCGAATGGGATGCGAAAAAGAACACATGAAACACTAATGTGAATATGTAATCAACAAGTAAAGAAGAGAATAAAAAGCAAAAAAGAATATTATTTTATGAATTTCATATAGAATGTGACTGTAGTCGACAACAAAACGAAAAGTTGGGTTCTTTTTGCATTCAATTCTACTCGTTTAGAATTACATTAGTGAAAAAAAATGAAAAAGCAACAAAGGAGAATAAGAACAAAGCAAAAAAAAAGAATGTCTGTTCGGCTCTTTAGTTGACTAACCCAGAGACACAGTCATTTTTTTATTTAGCAGAGGTCGCTTATTCACATTTGTCCTTTTTATAGATTGAATAAATTAAATCAAAAAAAAAAGAAAAAGAAAAGCAAGACAATGAATCAGTGAATCTTATTTTATCAAATCAAAAGTGAATCAATCGATATATCATAATCCTTTTGTAGTAATCTTTTTTGCAAACATATATTTTTCATGAAATAAAATAAATACAAAGAAAATAAAATGACAATTCGTTTCTAATCTTAAGCGGCACCGATAAGAATCGTATTTTGCTGCTGTTGATGATGATGTTTTCGTTCATTAATATTAGTTGAACGTTTTATATGTTGTGGATGCTGTTGAATCATACGGCCAAATGCATCAATATATACTTGTTTTGTAAAACGTTTCCAAATTTCATTATTATGATATGTTTTATAAAAATCAGCATCACCTGGAAATGGAATTTCACTTCGACGTACACTTTGTTTATATTGATCAGATGCAAGATGTATAAATGATGACTTATTTAATAAAAGACATTCACATTCATTACTAACTAATGTTAATATTGGTTGATTTGGAAATAACATATCTGCTAAACCCTAAATAAATAATTTTGTTAAACATCATTATTACTTATGTGATTCAAACTAGATAAACACCATTCGGTACGCTCCTTCGGATAGATCTTGAACTTAGACCCGTCGGGTACAATGTGCGATATTCGTCGATTTACCAACAGTCAACCGATGTTAATTTCATTCGACAGAAACTGTCACAATCACAATATGGTTCTCAAACTATTACTGTATATGAAAAAATATTTTATTTAATTTCTTCCTTAAACAGAAACGAAAAACCAGAGATTATCTCAAATCTCATAAAAGAAGCAAATGATTCAGAATTCACCTGATGTCTATTTGCTTTTAAAATTTGATCAATTTCGCTAAGTCTATCTTTATTCTTTACTGATGACTCTGGAATAGAGAGCAATTTTGACAACAAACATCATAATTGCGAATACATGAATGCTTTTTCTATCACAGTAATACATGTTCACTTTGATGATTCCGTTCCCCTCTGTGTGTATTTAATTGCTTCATTATATGATTCATGAGCATCTGTAAATGCAATTTCATTAAAAGCGAATTCTTTTAGTAAAACAATAACTCTTGACACTTCTATGATTTATTTTCAAGTTCACTCCTATGGGTTTTTTTTATATAAAAAGCAGTTCGAAAGAGGAAAAAATATTTTCAAATTTCAAAATCTCATTAATATATAAATATAATATATTCTAAAATTTCTTCAGATGCTTATTCACAGTCTATATTTTAATCCATTTCAGCTTTCATGTGTAACATAGTTTATCTAGTTTCAGTTAATATGTCTGTTTGCATCAGGAAAAAATATTAATATAATACATTGACGTTTAATTCGAAATAGATATTAACGAAACCTCTTTGTTTTATCATATTACATCAGCTTCTTATGAGTTAGACATTTGGTTAATCACTTTTGGTCTTCAAGAACCTTAAGACTAAACTTACAAAATGTTGACCTTCATTTAATGTCTTAACATGTACATAAATCATTGAATTGGGACTGATTAATTTAGGTTTTGGAGATACCTAATATGGAACAAGCAATTTTATTTTTAATAAATATAATTATTTTACTTTGACTAATGATCGTTTCGGTTTTGTAGATAGATTTGTTGATGTTGACTTTGTTATATTACTATTTACTGATAATTTATCATAATCAATTAAAAGTAATCGATCACGTTTATCAACTAGACCAGGAAATTTCTACAAGATAAAAATAAAACAAATGAAAATTGATGAATCAATGTAAGTACTTTAATATCATTAACAACAATTCGAGATGCTGTTGATAATGCAGATGAAATACGTTGATCTTCAATTGATGAACGACGTAAACGACTTAAACGAAAATCAGCATCGAGTGCATTGGCATTCTCCATAGATTCGTTAATATCACCACTAAGTTGAATTTCTGAAAATAATGTACGATTATCTCCTGTTGCTTCATCATGATCATCATCCATTGCTAAATAAAAACAAAAAAAAATCTTTTTATATGAAAATAATATAAATTAAAGACACAAGCTTTTTTCATGATCTGTTTGAACAGAATCCTTTCTTATGATTTTTCGATGATAATCATTTGGATCGAGACGTTTCCATACATCAAGTGAACCTTTTTTAACAATAAATAAATGCTTCATACGTCGACTATCTTTGGCAATTACTTCTGATTGTCTAATATTAATAAATAATTTAAGTTTAAAATGAAAAAGAAAACAGAAATCTCAATATAACCTAAAATGACAATGTTGAATTGCATTTGGAACTTCACTTAAATGTTCTACAGGAAAACCATGTAAAAATGGTACATGATTTCTTTTTAAAACAAAAAATATTTTTCAAAGCTATTATTAAAATTCATTTTACTTCAGAAATTCTAGATTATCTTTACTGCAATGTCGATTATTACTCATAAAGATTGATTTAAAATCCTATACAAAAATATATATATATATCATTGAAAATAGTTACATCCATATATGTTTACATCTTTCCATATAACTAATAATTCAATTTTTGTTTTTGATACCACAGTAAAATTTTGTGTTGAATCCATCATTAAACCTTTTTCCTTTAGTGATAATAAAAGTAAATTTTTTTGATTAATGTTAAAGAAAAATCTTACTCCAAATGTGCATCCTCGTTTTAAGACATCCAATGTTTCAATATTACCATCCGTTGCTCTCTTATATGTTGGAATAGCTGAACCGGATAAAATTATATAAAAATTAGCCGCTCGTTCACCTTGTCGAACAATTGTACGTTGTTCAGGATAACTAATAATAAGAGAATTATATTAATCAAATAAATGGTATATCAATTTTGGTTCTAATGAATTTAGTAACATATTGTATTGTTCGAAATATGATATTTTGTGTTTAGCGGCTGTTATTTTTTGTGATTAGTTTCTCTTTATTTTTATAACTTACAATCACAAACAAAAGTTTCTTTAGGTTATAATTATTTTTCAATTATAATATGCTATTCACTACCTACTAGTTGAGAAACTTGAATCAAAAGCTTTTGACTTGAAACTTTACCTGTATGGTTGTTCAAATATTCAAACATTTTTCCAAAGAATTTTACTTATTTCAATAAAGAACAAGAAGTTGAGAACTTTTTTCATCAAATTTCATAATTCAACAACATTTTTTTTATTTAAAAATGAAAAAAGTCTTGTTCTCTTACAAACACTCTATTAATCATAATTGAAGTCTACATTTAATTATCTTAAGAAAATTCATGTGATGATAAATTATAAAAATAGAAATTAGTTCTTACCATTCATACCATGCCAACTGTAATAATTGATCTTGTAATTCTTTTGGTAATCGTGTAAATGGTTTAATATCAGCTAAAGTTCTTCGAATCTAAATAAATAAGAAAAACAATGTATTGTCAAGGTAACAAAACAATTTTGAGAAGACAACATGTTTTATGAAAATGCTGAATTTCAATTAGCATCATTTCATGTTAAAAATCAAAATAATAATGCATTTATTAATGATAACTCATATAGAAATGAAAGAATATTTTTAAATAATAATGATCAATATAAACAAAAACAAGACATTATAAATATAATTTTAATTGGTGATAAAAATATTGGTAAATCAAAATTAATAAAACAATTTACTCAAAATATATTTCGAAGAAAAAAATCACAAAATACTTCATTAAATATTATTTATAAATATCATAATCAAACAAATGAACAAAAACTTCATTTAAAATTTCATCATATTAATTTAACATATCAAAATAAAATTAATTTAATGTCTATTTGTTCTTATGCTGATTGTCTTCTACTTGTCTATGATATTAATAATCAAATATCATTCAGTCATCTTATTGATCGTTGTCTATCTTTAATTCAAAATTATCAAACAGATCATATTTGTTCATATTCATTAATTGGAATTAAATATAAAAATTCTCGACAAATTAATTATTCTCAAATAGAAATATTTGTTAAAAAATTTAAATTATCTTATTATGAAATATCATCTTTAAGTAATTATGAAGAATTATTAAAAGATATTTTAGATAATTATTTTGAAAAAAAATTAAAAGAAAATAGTTTATTTTATTTAATTAAAAAAATAAATAAACTATGTGATTTATATCGATTATAAGTATTAATGTACTTACCTCTTCAGCATTTTCAATGTCACGTGCACCTGTTGATTGTTTAAAAAAATCTTGTACTGCAGGTAAAATTTCGTGCTATGAATTTAAAAATTAATCGTTGAGAACAATTTCATATTTGTTTGTCTTACAGATTGAATTTTGAAGTTTGACTTATCAAACATGTACTTTTCTGTTGTACCAGCAGTTTGCAAATAAGATTGATAGACCATTGAACGTAACTGATTTCTATTATAATAAAAGAAAGGAAATGGCATAAATTTGATTTCTTCTCTTATTTCTACTCATACTTTTTCCCGGCGAAATTACACCAATAAATTGCGAATATAATTAAATGACCCGCTCGACGAAATTTTACTAGTAATTTACTTGGTAAAGGCTAGAAAAATATGGATGAAAATCAGTAAAAAAAAACACATACTAATAAATATACTCGATTTTCATGGAGTGAACGAGTCTGTGTTGAACGATAACTTAAACTCGAAACAACTGATTGATGTCCAACTTTGCCATGTGAAGAACGATCACTTGGAGCAGTTGTACTCGAATTTGATGATAGTTTTGTTCGACTTACCAGTGTATGTGGTGGTGATATAAAACGATGTGGTGTTAGATAAAGAAGATTTTCAAAATAATTTTTCATTGGTTGTCCTCCCATTGGAGTTGATGGTGGAATAGCACCATAACGATATTCCGAGATCGGTTGACTTCTTGAACGAAGCATATTATTCTGTTGAGATTTATCATAATGAACATTGCTTGGTGTAGACATTGATAAAGTGCTCGATATTACGTATGACAAAAACAAAAGTAATCAAACTAAAAGCAAATATATATTTAATGATAGTTTAATTAAAGAATGAGAAAATTTTATTAATATTTAATTTTTTAAATTTTTATTTGACAAAAACAGGTTGAAGAATATTTTTATCGATTATTTTCCCATATGTCAACATAAATGAATTTTTATTCTTATCAAATGACAGCAAAAAAACAAAAGCTGAAAGTCAAATACTATTTATTCAATAGTATATATTCAAAGTGAATTTCGACCGAAAAAAAATTTTTATATTAACATCATTTTATGTTTTTGTTTTAACATAAGAAAAAGAAATTGTAAATGTCAAGAACAAAACTTCTATTAAAATGCAAACAAATCTAATAAAAAAAATAATATCTTTGTGTAATAACATTGATGTGAAGCTTGAGAAAAAAAAATGTTGTATGATTATCAGATTACACTATCTCATTAAAAATATCTAAAAACTAAATCATACTTTCGAAAAATGATCTAACTAGGAGCTTTTTCCACATATTTTTACTTACAATAAAACTTTGCCGTCGAAAAACGGATGTTAATTGTTCTGATACACAAAATGTTGAGTTGTTATCTGCGATAAATTTTCACTGTTGCTGTCCTCGGCACTGATTTTGCTTTTCGTTACGTTGACACAACAGGTAAAACACTTTTTTAATCTTTTTTCTTTTCTTACTTTTTATATGTTTGACAGAGTCATCACTAAATGATTGACAAAGAGAAAAAAAGTGTGCAAGAACGAAATAAACATCGTTTTCCACTCGAAATCAACGAAACAAATAAAGAATACGACAAAAAACGTTTTGAAAGTAACATCAACAATTGAGAAGTATATTTTCGTGCCTATGGCAGAAAAATCGAGTTGATGATAAGAGCAACTGGCTTCTCATTCACAAAGACAAACATATTCTGTCGTGAGAATTTGTTTCGCTTTTTTTTCTTTTCAAATAGATGACAATTTTCAGGTGAATGACAAATAAAAGGACACAATCATTACAAAAAGAAATATATCGATATCTGATTTAGTTCTCAGAAAGTGAAAACAACAAATTTTCAAGTATAAGATATTAACTGAAATAACACAAAACATTTCTACTCGACTATCGATATTATCAGATTTACATTGGTTTCTTGTTGGCAAAATAATTGTAATTATGAACTAGTTTCATAAATCAAAATGCTTAAAAGTAAACAATCATCGAAATTTACTTCAACGTAGGCGATTAACAATTTTGATGAAGAATACTTACTAAAACAACATTAAAGCAGAACAATAGTCAATGATTACTAGACAGTTGACACTTAAGCTTTGCCGTTTATATATATGTCTTGAAAAAATTAGGTCATACAGTTAACCTTTAGAAATTATACAAATGAATGAATTTTAAGAGAAAAATATCAATTGAATTAATAAAGTTCTTTGCAAATTACTCTTATTTTAATGTGATATTACAACTTTGAAAAAAGTAATAGCCTAATTACTGTAAGAATGAATTCTTTTCCTTTACCTCAAGAAATTGACATAGAAACCAGTATAAGAGTATAAAATATCAAAATTTATTCTTCATAACTACGCATCATTTGATCAGTTTTACTTTACGGTATTTTATTTTTTATTGCTGACTGAAAAGTAAAACTCAAGGATATATCAACACAGAAGACGATTGTTTGTTTAGTTAATCTATGCTGTATAGGATGATGCGTTCAAAAAAAAAAAATAAAGATGTTTATTCAACACTCTACTGCTCACAAATAAACTTCAATCTTTACTTCTAATTTATAATAATTACTTGTTTTGAACACTTTAAATAGTTTCACATGAAAGATATCATATCTTTTTCTTCAATATTAAAATTTTATCAAAAAGAAAACAAAGGCATAGTATATAGCACAAACTTCGATATTGAAACACATTGGTATAACATAAAATGTCATATAAAACAAAAGAAAAAAAAAACATGCTCGCATACAAATGTTGGAAGGTATTTTCTAAAATTCTATACAAATCACTCATGATTTATGACTGTCAGACGATGGTACCAAAAAACGAGAGAAATATAACGAAATATGATACTGTTAATCGATAACTGTTATTATAATAAAATGGATTTTGTTGTCCGTATTTATTAGAATTACGAAAATTGTCATCTCTATTTGGATACAAAGAATTACCAGGATTTTGATTAAATCGATTATGAGTATTTGTATTTGTCCATGAATTTTTATTCGCATTAGGATCCATGGGTCCGCCATAAGTATTACGATTTGGCATTAGATCTTTGTTATAAGAATATTGATTATTGTTGTTTGTATTTGGCAAAAAATTTTTATTCGCATTTGGATCCATAGGTCCACCATAGGTATTACTGTTTGGTCCTAGATCGTTATTATAAGAATATTGATTGTTGTTTGTATTTGGCAAAAAATTTTTATTCGCATTTGGATCCATAGGTCCACCATAGGTATTACTGTTTGGTCCTAGATCGTTATTATAAGAATATTGATTGTTGTTTGCATTTGGCAAAAAATTTTTATTCGCATTAGGATCCATAGGTCCACCATAATTATTACGGTTTGGTAATAGATCATTATTATAAGAATATTGATTATTATTTGTATTTGATGATGTACCATAAAAATCTTTATTAGTTAAAACTTGATTTGGATTAGCCGGGTAAGGCATTTGAGAATTGGACGATGAATAATATGAAGTACCAACAGATCCTTTAACTATAAGAAAAAAATTTTCTTTTTAATTCATTTTTTTATTTTTATAAATAACCTGGTGAGATAGGATTTCCATATTGATCACGTAAAAGTGGATTTGTACCGCTACCAGAATAATAATTATTTCCATTATATAAAGAATTTAATGATGATTGATCGTTTGTTCCATAAAATGGCGGTTGTTGTTGCGGACGTTGTAGACCGTATAAATTAACATTTTGTAAAGTATTGTCTGTAATTGATGATGATCCCATAGGATTGCCATAAATATCTCTTGCATCTGGATTATTCATACGTATACCCCCTATATTAGTATTAGCAGGATAATTAAAGCCTGCAGGTGCACTTGCACCTAAGCCTGCATTCGTACCATACAATGATCCTGATGTTTGACGACGGAGGCGACGACGACGTCGATTAGCACTACCATTAATATCTAAATATTCAAAAGAAAAAACATGACGAGATGAATAATAAGTTGATGATTCAGTTCAGAAAATATAATTGATTTTAAAAAGAGTTTTTACATTAATAATAAAATTGAATCAGAATTAAAAAAATAATTTCCACAATTTAAATCTCAGACATTCAATTCTTTTTAACAGATATGAAAATTTAAATATAATCATAAAGATTTGTATAAAACCAATACTTACCAGTGATTAATAATGATTGTAAAAGTAGTACGACAATGATTATATTAGTCAACCACATGATATATTATTTTTAAAATAATAATATCCTCTTGTTTAGATAATCTGAAAATAATGATAGATAAAATTTTCAAAAATAATTAGAAATCAATATAGATGATGCTGTTAATACGTAGAGTACATTTTGCAAGAGGTCATCATTGATAGCAGTTCTAAGTCTTTTATGTTTTCTATCAAATAAAAATCCGTGTAAATAACTATTTATTGATAGTAACTACGTAAAAAGAGAAGTATTTCTCCTTTCTCTGTATTCCTGACTATTTTCTTTTTCTCATCTCAGTCGTGGTCGTTAGTTCTTCTGTACCATTTAGATGCGCGAAATAAGTACGACAACAATTTTTTTTTCTTTTTCTGTTTGCTGTCTCTCGATCTTTTTTTCTGTTGTCTGCACAGCTAGGAACATGCGTCTAATACTATGATTAACTGGGACGAGTTATTTGTCAATCTTTTACCTTCAAATGCCTACGAGAAATGTAATAATAAACATAATTATGCAGATCTGCTATATCTATACAAGTTTTTTCTTCGTTCGTTATAGTTTCTCTCTTTATTTTTAAGCGATTTCTTTTTTGGCCTCCGTATTGATGTGTAAGAGAACGAAGTTAATTGTCGACAATCGTCAATTGCTTTCATATGATAGGCATTATTTATAGATGAAAAAAAAAAGAAGAAAAGCTGATTTGAATAATATGCTCTTTCTTTTTTTTTGTTTATGAGAATAAATTAGTAATCATAAAAAAGAAAATGCCTCGAAGAAAACTTCATAATGTTGAATAACGGACAAAAATCATATTGAAAGAAAATCAAAAAACACAATTGAGTTAATAGATATCTTGTATTTTTTCTCTAGCCCTATTAACTGCTATAAATGACGAATTGAATGATTTCAATAAATTTTCAAGCAAATTGGGTTAAATTTTAATGAAAAAAAAAAAAAAACAGAAAAAAAACTTTTACAATTTCAAAAGTAAATAAATGGCCATTGCCAAGTCTATGTCATTTAAATTATATGAATGAAATCATTAGTCACAAGTACAAATGAAATAAGTCTTCTGAATATTAGAATTAACATGTCGTATCTCGAAATGTTATTAAACTTTTCGCTTGACTCGTAGGCTACCAGCGGTCGACTTGTCGGAAGATACAGGTAAATTTGGTCCATTAGAATTGCGATCAAGACTACCACCTGATCGTCCTTGGAATGGAACATTTCGAAATGATCGATACCATTGATAATTCGGAGGAATTAAACCACTACCTGTTCCACCTGTAAAATATTGATTAATATTTCCTTGTTCCCAATTAGGATATCGATTATTAAATCCTGTAGGTGCATAACCATATGAAAGTGTTCCATAAGCTCCATATAGTCCACTTCCATATGTACTACCTAAATTTGGAAATTCATAAGTCTGACTTGTTCCAAACGGATATTGATTATTAAAATCTGATGAATATCCCGGACCATATTGACTTAAATCGCTACCGTAATAATTCATATAAGGAGGTTGATTTCCATTATAGCCTGTATTTAAATTACCATAATTAGGAGCATTATAATATGAACCCGATGGATATGTTAAAGGTGATGATGGAGAATAAGAGCCGGAATATGGACTTACATCTGATATATAATAACTCGCTGATGATAATTGACGCCGTTTACGACGCGCACGAGCATCCACAACTATTATAAATACTTCATACTTGTATTCATGATTAAAAGAATCAAACTAAATAACTTACAGGTAGCTGATATAATCAAGAGTAATAAGATCACTCTTATCATCGCCATTGCTTTATACGAACAAGTATATGTATGAATATATATATATATATAAACGTAAAATGAATATAATATATGTACAGTTATATTAAAATTTACACAAATATTTATTCTTGATTGGTTCGATTTTTCTCACATTCTCTCTTTCGATACACAAAAAATGCATCGATCTACATAAAAAAACTCTGTTCGATTTTTTTTGCTTTCACTATGTGATCGCTTTTTGTAACTACATTTGCCTTGACAAGTGTACACACATATGACCATGTAATTTTTATACATCTAAAGTGTTACTTTATGTATTCATAAGATTTATATCGAGTTAAGAAATTGAATTGATTCTTTTTCATTTTTTTGCATCGTTATTTAAAAAAAAAACGTGTGCATATAATGCAACAACAACATATACATATATAAATAAGGACTATCAAAATGAATTACACGTCAGTTTTTTTTTCATATCACATTAGATAACAGCAATTAAGTTTTATAGATTTATGCGTAAGTCGTGTTTGGAATATTTTAACAGGTGATAATAATCATGATATCTATTTCGCATTTTTTTGGTTTCTAAGATCTATTGTATCCGGTGCTACTATATCATTTTTTATCATTTGTTCCATCAAACCGTCCTAAAGAAAAATTAGAATAAGACAATCTAATAATTTTAATATTATTGATTTCATTTACCATATGTTGATATTTTTCGTCGAATGATGGATCATCTGGAGGCTCATTTATACCATTACTAACTTGTATTGATGAAGTATCAGAATCTGATATTAAAGGTATTCGTACTGGTGGCTATAAATATAAAATAAAACATTGTTAAATAAAGTAAAGCTATCTGCCATAATATTTGCCTCAGCAGTGTAACGGTTATTAGTTAAACGTATAGTGGGAGAATAATGCATCTTCTAAATAGAATGCTAAATGTATTAATTATCATTGAAAGCCAAAGTTTTACTATGAAACTTGATCTGATATTTACTCATTTTTTTGTTTCAAGATTTTTTCAAAAGCATAAATTTATTAGTTAAGTGTTTTGTACAATTTATCATAAATATTTTAATAATGAAAAGTAACACTGTTCTTTTAGTCATAGAGTATTTATAACTAAATTCTTGAAAAACTATTGTTTTGATTATCTATGAAGTAACTGATTAATTCCAAGATACTAACCCCTGTTGGATTAGTCAAATGTTTTGTAACAGAATCACTTGATCCTTTTCGCTGTAAGAAAATAAGTAAATTTAGTACCACATTGAAGTCATTTATAATATAATTAGTAATTAATCGAGAAAAAAAATTTGACATGTGTGTATTTTTCAAAAACTTACATGCGAACCAGATCTCGATGAATTCTTTTCAGTACAAAACCTATTCTTAAGAACGATATATCTAAAACAAAACAATTATCTATAAGAAATTTTTCTTTCGTAAATCCATACATGGCCAAAGTCAATATGATAATTACACCAACAATAATACATCCAAGAATCCACAAGATAGAATTATTTGTTTCTAAATTATTAAATAAATTTACTAAATATCTCTCATAAATATACCTTTAGTTTTAATTGTATGACATATTTCTTTTCTAAATGATTGATCAGTTTGTTCATAAAAACAATAAAGGCAAATTTTATATTGTGTTGATGAACGAAGACCATCAATTGAAATCTTTTGGTCTGATGTTTTTGAGATATCCTAGAAAATAATTTTCTTTCATGTTGTATAATACAAATATATTTCTAACCTGAACTGCTATTAATGTCTTTTGATTGTCTACTTGACTCACATGTCCGGAACAAAAACGTTCACGTATTGCTCCGGTCTTATTATGATTAATCATTATAGTTAAATGATTACTCGATATATTTTGAATTCTAAAATCAACTTTAGTTGTATGTACTAGAAATAAAAAAGAAAAATTTATCAATTATAAAAAGAAATGTTATCATAGTTCTTACTAGGTTCAATATTAAATCTGTAATAAGCTGATCCAAAACGTCTTAATGTCATATTTACACTCATAGAAATTTTTTTTGGAATTCGATTTTTTTCACGAGGTACAAAATTGAAGACAAGTTCATTTTCATCAGTAATACTAACAAGTTCTGGTGGATGATGATATTCTGTTCTAAATAAAACCAAAATAAAAAAAAAAAAAGATAAATTTTTCAAATATTAATTTAAATATACTCAGAAGTATATTCTGAAAATTCATAAAGTCGAGGAAAACCATTTCGAAATGCACGTGCAATTGTTGGTGCATCAAATATACATTGAACATAACGATAATCATATGCTTGACAAGATTCTTTTAATTGAATACGACCAGGTTGTTCTATAAAGAATTTTTTTTTATTTGATTGCTAAGTGAAGAGAAACAATTATTCGTATTTTTTTATTATTTCTAGTTGAAGACGAAAGTATTTTATGACACACTTAAATGTTTCATGCTTAATATATGACATAGATTTTGATTGACATAAAAGAAAAACGAATTTTTTCTTTTGAATTCTGTATGTTTCAGGTAGCTTTGATATCACATACTTGTGATATCTTGTGATGTAATAAAAAACAATGATAGATTTATGATTTTTAATCTCTTTGTACTAGAATGAAAAGATTTCAATTTTCATAACTAAAATAAAAACATAATATCTAACGCTTCCAAAGATATAACACAATACAATGGACACTACTAGAAAACAAAATGCATTGCAATTTGATTATAGTACTCATGATTCACGTTCTATTACTACATATTGTCGAATGTAAAAGAAAAAAGAAAAGAATATTTTAATCTTGTTTTTTTTTTTATGCAGAAAGGGTAGAGCTTAGTTAAAGTTTGAATAATAATTATAGAAAGAAAAACGAAAACATTATGATCGAAAATTTTGTCGAAGTTTTATCTATTATGTCAAATTTAAAATTAGAAAAAAATGTTTTATTTTTCTTGATTTCATTACCTCCAATTATAAGATCAGCTATTTGACCATAGGTAATATTATTATCCCAATGACAAATAATGCGATTAACACCAATATAACCATTTGGGATGATACGAATACGTATAGCAGTAGAATTAGCTTGTTCATGTTTTAATATAAATTCTGGAGAAGTTGAAACTGGCTTATCAATTGAAGCCATTAATTTATTACCTTGCTTATCTAAGTTAACTCGACTAGAACAATAGAAAGTACGTTCTTTATCTGTTGAATCAATAACCAATTCTACTTGATCTGAATTTTTACAAAACAGAAAAAGGAATTTTCATTAATAATGTACTTAATAAATAGAATTTTGAACAATACCAATTATTAGATGTTTGGTATCATGAAATTTTAATTTGTTATGATCATCATTCCTGCTTTGAGCAATAATAAGACATATCATACTCAAATAAATTATTGATTGTATTGAAAAATATGTATTCATTGAGAATTGATAAAATATGTTTATCATAAGCTAAGAAAAAAAAACTTCACGATATCGTTTGCAATTTCCTGAAATACGATAGTGCTGTGTGTTTTTTTTCTCTTCTTTTTTTTGTCCTTGTCTCGATGAGAGAGTGTCAATAAGACTGACATAGAAAGCATTTCGTCGATAAAATAAGAAAAAAAAAGAATACTTTTTGCTTTATCGTAGTCAAAGAAAAATTTTTAGTTCGCGGAATAGGATGAAAATTTATTACGAAAGTGTGTGTTTTCAATAATTTTCTTACAAAAATATGAAATATACTTTTATTTATATAAATATGTGATGAATACAAATGACGATTTATCTTACTTCATATTATTAATAAAAATAAAACTCTTCCTTTTGTCTTTTTTTCAATTTACACAAATTAAAATACAAAAAAAGAACAAAAACAAGTAAACAGTCATTCAGTTTCGAAGAAAAAAATAAGTTTTTATCGCGTAAAAAAATAAAGATTTCATTTTATTTTTTTCGCTTTTCCTGGAATTCAGCAATAGAATCGAACCATGATCCTATGAAAAAATACTCGAATCGATCCGACTGCAATACAAATGTTATTCCGCATAACAAAAAAAAACATCAGTTAAACATCCAATATCATTTCTTGTCAAAATTCGTTCGACTTGTTTTACAATCAATAGACATTGATTCATTGATGAATATAACACCCAATGAACTGAGGCGTTCATAACAAATCTCATTTGACTCGTAAGCCAACATAGTAGTAACAACATCAATTGGAAGTGTTGGAGCAAATCTTAAATAAGATAAAAAATGAATTCTCTTTCTAATTTTATTTTTGATGAATACAGACCCCCAAATTAAAATTTGAATCATTTGTTTACGATAAATATCAATAAAAAAATTTACTAAACAACAAGTAAGTTTAGGTAAAGATCTATAGAGTATAAATAATTGAATATAATTTTTTCGACGAAATGATGAACAAAATTCAAGAACAATGTCAAGATTGTTTGATTCTAGTGTTGATATATTTACTTTATCGATATCACTTAAAATTCGATTTGCTTCTAATAAAAACAATTTATAAAAAACAAAAAAATAACAACTAAAAATAATAATATATAATATGATTACTTTTATAATCATTGATTAACAATGAATAAAGTAAACGATAAATAAGAAATTCAATTAAATGAGTAGGATTACAACCAGAATCATATAAAAGTTCTAATTGTGTTTGACATTGAATAAACTGATCTAGATCACCCTAAAAATAGAATATTGTCAACAGAGAAAAAAAAAAATTTTTTTTGTTTTATCAGTCATAAATACCATTTCAAGTGCTATTCGAGCATTTTCTTCATAAACTAATACTGTAAAATCATTTCGTATTGATTGTACCATAAGATCTTGTCGAATACTTTTTAATTGATTACTAATATATGACCAATCATTGTTTGATTTATATTTATTTAAAACAAAAGGAAATGCTTGTTCAAGAATTATTAATGGTCGAATTGTTGATGGATTAGGTGCCTTAAAGAAAAAAAAAACAATAAAATTCATTTTCAACATCAAAAATAATAAATTTACACTTGTTAAACGAAGATAATTCTTTTCTAATCTTTCACATGTGCCTATTAAAGGTTCATTTATTACTTGAATCTATAAAAATGAACTATTGAATATATATAAAGTCAAAGAATTATTTTTACTGGTTTATGAATTATAGATGTTGATTGATTTGTAAAACGATTTCGTCGTCGTTCTAATTGTTTATGTTCTTCAGATTCTGAACTAACAAAAAGACAAAAATTACAAAATTAAATTTAAATTTCCAATCATTACTCGCTAGAAGTAAACGACGATTGCATTCTTTTTTGTTTTGTGCAAATTTACAATTACTATTAAATATTTCAATAAAAAGAAAATCTAGAAAACATATTCTATGAAAAAATTATTTGAGATTAATTAATTTATTTACTAAGGAAAACAATCTGTTGAAATATATTACATTTTGTTTTTTTTTTTGGAGTAAAAATTAGTAGATAAATGAAATATAAAATTGAACTGTCGAATATTTGTTCTTTAAAGATATTTTTCAACGAAAATTGATTGATTTCAAATAGGACATAGTTTTAAGATAACGAGAAGAATATATATATTGCATTGTTTCTGTTTGGATATATTTTAAAGAATCCCAAATCAATTGAAAATGATCATCTTATTAAATTTTTTAATCTTTCTAATTATTGCAAAAAGTCACTAATGAATGAAATTTAACATTAATTGAGAATAATTCTACAAGAAGTTCGAAAACATGAATCCTACTTTGTAATTTTATTTTCACTTTACTCTTATTTAATTATTAGCGATTATTATAGGATCATGACTGATTGATAAAGTTCTTTTTGATAAACAATAGAACACAGTCTCTATTCATTAATATAATAATTATGATCCTAGAATTCGATAACAATAAAATATCGACATTTTTTTTTTGGAATTATGTATAAAACTGTTTTGTAATCAGCAAGCTTTAGCTTGCCATATTGAATAAATATGTAGATCGAGATTAAATCGGAAAAAACGTTTGAATAAAAAAAAGCAAGTAAACATTTTTGTCATTCTTTCCAGATGTCATGATTTCTGTAGAAGTTTCCAATTGGTTGATTTAAGTCTCCAATCATTGAATAGAATTCTGTTTTGCTTCTTTTTTTTATTCATTTTCAATTCTGAAAATTGGAAAAGGAAAAGAAAAAAAAATTATGCTTTAATGTATGATTAAGTAGCAAAATATCTAAATGAAAGAAATTATTTTAATTCAAATCGAAATTCAAAAAAAATTATTCATTTCCTTGTTTTTTTTTTATTTTGGCTTTTTGTAAATGAACACCTCGATGTATTTCAATGTAATCTTCAGGGAAAATAACACATCAGTTACACATCTTGTTTTATTATCGAATGAATTCATAACTATTATAATATATTGATCAGACCTAAAAACTAGATAAAAGTTATTTGATATTCTACTTATAAATCTCTAAAGAATATTTAGCATCTGTTTGGTTTGACTGCTCAACATGTGTGTGAAAAGAAAAGAAAAAAACAGAACAAGTAACCTGTTCTTGATTATTCATGTGCTTTTTTTATTGGGAAGGCGATACTCGTGCTATCTACACTGATGATTTTTTTTTCTTAGTCTTTTTTTCTTCTTCTGTGTTATTTGGTCGCATAAAGGGCAATAAAAAGCGCGCAAATGCTTTTTTTTTTCTTTTTCTGTCTATGTGTATGCTGTTGTTGCAGAAAAATATTGGTTAAAAAAACCGAACATCGTCGCCGTCGTCGACGACGACAAGACAAAAACGAGTTTATAACAAGAATCAATTCTTTTTTTTTCCTATATGCGTATGTATATTTTTAACAAGTTGATAAATATATTATAATGGACATGTTTTTCTTCTCAGTAGAAAGAAAAAAAACAAACGTCAGAAATGCAGAAAAGTTTTCTTCTACCTATATGTTATTATTCATGCAGAACAACGAAAGTATTGGTATATTTTGTGTAGTTACTTAGGTTTCTAATGTTTTTCGCATATCAACCACCTGATGAATTAGAATTTCAAACAATTACTAGCTACATAAATCGCTTGACTGCTTTTATTAATCACATTTTTTTCCCTATATATATATATCTATTGGAAGAAAGAAAAGAATTTATGTTTTTGTTAAGGTAACTATTAGTAAACGAACAAATGCATGAATCATATGATTATTTTTCTTTTCTTCTATTCTTCGGTATTGGTGTCATGTATTATTTTCCTTTCAGATTTATTTATTTATTTATTTATTTATTAATCAGACGATTTATTTGTTATTTGACATAGATACACGCGACGCATTTGCTCACCTAAATATATTTATATATACATATAAATTGAGCCAACCCCCGCTTTATTTATCTTTCGATAGAAGGTTACATGACGTCTTACTAACATATTTCAAAGTCAGGTAAATTATTTCGTTATCTTCAATCATTTATATACAACAAAATTAAAATAATAGTGGTTTTATTATAAATAACAAAGAACATCAAAAGAAAAAAAAAAATGTTTATTATTCATTGTTAATTTTTAATATCAAATGGTGATACTTGCTATTGTCAGAATGAATCATCTGACGAAAGCAAGTCCAGTTATAACAAATCCAAATTCATCAACAACAAATGATGATAATACATCATCAATAATTAATACTGAAAAAATGCTTCTCTTAAACGGAAATATACCACCAGAACCAACAACACCATGTGTATTAAATACACCAAATACTTGTACAAAAAATTCAACATTTTTTTATGAAATTCCATCCAGTATGCATACATCAACATTAAACGGTAAAGTTTTTTTTTTCTTCTCTATGCTATTTAGAAAAATTAAGTAACAAGAAAAAAGAAAGGTTTTTAAATATTTCTAATATTTACATGTATAAACAGTTGTTTTTCCTTATTTCTCTTCAACATGTCATATCATTTTATGAAAGAAAAAAAAAACGATTAACTATGTTCTCATGTAAACTATCTTCAATAATACAGTACTATAAAGTATATATATATATATACATATATAACTGTAGCAATGGTCTGACAATGATTGTCATAAGTAAATATGCAATGTCGATATGGTTAATTTATGTTATCTAACATTTCACGACAGACTTTAATAGTCGCCAAGTGTGTATGTTCTACTCAAGGTTTTATCTACCTTAGTCTATTTATACATAGTCTAATACAATTTCATCAAGTCTATTCATTTTTGTTTAGATAAATACTATATTGCCTTCTTTTGGAAAGCAAAAAAGAAAGATTAGCATTCTAATCACGTAATTGTCACTCATCAGTTTTAGTAGAAAATAAAAATATTTTATGTCCTTGAATGTCTATTTTTTTCTTGTTTGATATTATTTTGAATTTATGGATAATTGTATTAATAAAAACAAAAAAGAAAGGACAATAACAAAAACATATCAGTTCAGAATAATAAATAGACACGAGAGAGACGATCTGTGTCTCATTAGGAACAATATCAAAGCATAAGTCATGTCTGTTATTTTGGGAGAATGTAAAAGAAAGAGAGAGACAACCTTGGTATAGATAATGATTAACAACACAAGCAAGTAGCGTTAGTGATGACAGGCAACGATGCTTACTCAGTTAGTTGTTATCTTCTATTCTATTTGAAATGAATATTTATTTCCTATAGCAAATAGTTCTAAGTAATATATTGTATTCGATATGTATTAGTATTTGTTAATTTAATTTTTTTGTTTCGTTTTTTTTTAATAGTCTATTGTGTCATCAACAGGTTAATATTTGTTAATGTGTCTGTATTTGTAGATAAGATGATGATTATCTTTTGATTATCATATTGAGAATCTGTTCAAATTCTATTTTTCTTCTTCTTCGGATTTATATTATCGTTCTCGATCCGAATGAATAAGAAAAAAAAAAGCAAAGAAAAGAAAATCCTCGAACTTCTTTCGTATGCGTTGAACTCCTATTACTTACTACCAAGTGTATAATCCACCTTTGCGATAGAGAAAGAATTGTAAAAGGGCGTGTTTGCGCTGAGCTTGCTGCTTTTGTTGACACGAGGTCTTAGCACAACGAGGACGATTCGCTCGTTTCTTCTGCTTTAATTGATGTTACTACAGCTCTTTTTTTTTGGGTCGATCGAAAAGAAAAGGTTTCATCATCAAGTAGAATAGCACCAGTCGAAACGAAGAAGGAGAACGCGAGAGAGAGAGAGAGAGAGAGAAAGAGAAAGAGAAAAGAAGGGACAAAAAAAGCGTTTATCCGTCATTATCATTCAATTGTAATCGGTCGTTCATTCGATGTTATTTCCGTTGACGAACTAGAAACAGGTATGTCTGATGATTTTGATCCAATATTATTAAATACAGATGAAGAAAATATTGTCCATGATGTTTGTGTAAAATATGAAAATGGTTCACCAATAGATGGTTTAAGTTCGTTTAAATTGAATTTATAAGTAAATGGATTGAAGAAGAATTTCGAATCGTTATTTAATGTTGATGAAACAATTAATGATAATGGGTTCGATGTGGGCATGTTTTCTTTTTTTTTTTGTTTATGTTATTAAAAATAATGGCGCGTCACCTTTTGTATTGAATCAATAAGAAGTTTTTAAAACTATATTAAGTGAATAGAATTTTTTTTTCTTATTCATTCTTATGATCAAATAAACGTGCTTAGAAGTTAAAATGTTAGTCGTTCTCATCTATACATATGCCGGGTCATCTATTGATTTGACAGTGCATATCAAAAACGTCTAATCGATCTTATTCTATTCATTTATTCCTTTTCTTTTATTATACTCACACCAAAATAACACTACGTAATGTTTTATATTTTTAGACACTCAATCATCAACTGTCTCAGTACTGACTCAATCGTTAGAACAACCATCAGCTCCTTCATTATCAGATTCGTCGTCTTCTATTGATATATTACCGTCTCATCAAAATTCTTCAAATCAACTTTTAACATCATCATCATCATCTATTCCATCAATAGTTGTTACTACAAGTTCAACATTATCAAACGTTGTTGATGTATCGTCAACATCATCATCATCACCATCATCGGATATTCATGACGATAGAAAAATGCAATTACCACGTAGTTTAATTAATGAAAATAAACCATTTCCATTAAATTTACAATTAAAAAAACCTATTCCACTTATAACAACATCACCACCATCATCATCATCAAAAACATTAATTGAAAATTCAAATTTAAGTGACACAAATAATAAAAATGATCTTGATGTTGCAAGTGTTAATGATCAAATTCATACATTATTAACATCAAATCCAGTTGTTACAGATTATAGTATCAATCAATCGAACAGTACAACACCAGTATCAAGTTCTCTAACAGTACCATCATCAACATCAACAAATGAAACAACAATGAATTATGTTGATCCATCTCATTATGTTTCATATGGAACACATCAAGCACCTCCGTCCTATCATGAAGCTATAGTTAAACCACCAACATCTATTAATAATTTTATGCCAACATTAAATTTAAATGGTACCGGTCTTTCATATGGTAAAACAACAGGAACAAATGAATGGACAACAACATCAACAAATACATTTAATATACAAACACCAATAATATCATCTTGTGTTAAAAATGAACCACAAGATTATCCAACAACAACTGTTAATGGTCAAACAATACAATTTGCTAAACCAAAAAATTATCCTAATAGACCATCTAAAACTCCATTACATGAAAGACCATTTCCATGTCCTATTGAACATTGTCCAAGAAGATTTTCACGATCAGATGAATTAACAAGGTAATATATACTAAAAGCAAAAAAAAAAATTTTACTTATTAAATTGGATCATTTTTTTTTGTTCTTCTTAGACATATTCGAATTCATACAGGAGATAAGCCATTTCAATGTAAAATTTGTGCTCGAGCATTTTCAAGATCTGATCATTTAACAACACATATTCGAACACATACTGGAGGTAAAAAAGAAAAGAAAAGAAATCAAATTTCTAATTTTTTTTATTATTAAGAAAAACCATTTTCTTGCGATACATGTGGTCGTCGTTTTGCTCGATCAGATGAACGTAAACGTCATGGAAAAGTTCATCAAAAAATTCGTAATACAAATCTAATTCATCATCCATTAACAAAATCACCACAACAATTTAATTCATTAACAATTTTATCTAATAGTTTAATTCCAAGTATGAATGAAGATGATCGAACTAATGATGATATGACTGATGATGTTGATGATAATTCATCACAACATAGTGCTAATGATTTACATGAACAACAACAACAATTTTTATGTCAACCACATTCAATGCATCTCTCTGCTCATTGGGGATGATAATATATCTATTCATAGAAGCATTGTGTTTTTTTTATTTATTTTGTTTTAAATAATTATTATATATTTGACACTCAGATAGGAAAAGAAAAAGAACTATTCTTTGAAAGAACAGTGACTTGTATTCTCTTTCTTTCTTTTTTTTTGTGAGTGTAGAGACAGTGATATGATCAAATAATGTGTTCTTCGTTTTTTTTTCTTTCTTTCTTTTTTTTCTAATATCTTCTTTATTCGTATGTACAGTACATCTCGCAGTGAGCCTATTCTATGTTTTGCTTCTTTTTCTTTCTTTGTGTTGATATTTTAGTTTTTGAACATCTTGTATTTTCGCAAATGCTCTTGTTTTTTTTCGGCTGTTTTCTACTTCATTATATACTGTTCTGTTACAGTCATCATCATTCTTTTTTCGAATCTGTATATGTATACATACATATATATATATGTATGTTTGTTGATTTCCTTTCATTAACCATCATCTATATGTTTGGTTTTTGTTTTGTTTTTCTAAATACCTTGCATGATGATGAAATGAAATTCTTTTGTCTCTATTTTTTTGTGTTCGCAGAACTGATATAACAAAAAAAATGTGTGAAAAAAAAAAATTAGAAGAAGAAGCAGAAAACAAAAAAGAAAAATTCTAAATAATCTTAATATTTGTTTTCTTTAATTTATTAGAAATGCTAAGATGAAAGAAGAAATACAAAGATGAATATTATTCTATATTTGATGATGATTCATTATGTGTTTGCGAATCAAAATGTGGTAATTGAGGCGTATCAGATGATGAATGATCACTTACTAATATATTTGATGAAGTTTCTAATGAATTTATTGTTTTAATTGGTGAATATGAAACAACTGTATTACTAGAAGATACATTAGATTGTTGTTGTGGTTGTCCGAATGTTCGAGAAAATAATTGTTGCATCCATTGGTTATTGAATATTGAAGTTGGTGTCCGTTGAATCGATGGAACTAACGTTGTTCGACACATTGGACAATTACCATGACGAAGAAGCCATTCTGTTAAACAATTTGTATGAAATACATGATGACATATTGGTAATTGTTTCACTTCAGATAATGGATTGAAATTTTCGAGACAAATAGCGCATGATGGATTTATTGAGAGATTTGATGGAGTCACTAGAATTTAAGAAAAAAAAAAACGAAAGATTTGACGAAAATGTAATCTTCAAGGTATTCAATGAATCGAAATGTTTTAGCATTTACGGGAGAACTACCCGAATTGATACCTACTATTTGACTCATATTAGGTCCACAAGAAGGTTTCAGTAAGACTAGAAAAAAAAAAACTTAAAACGATTCGTCAAGTAAAAAGGGTTTAGATATGAAATTTTGCTTCAAGATAAGTTCGATGACTCTGAAAATATCCGAAATGTTTCAGTCGAAAAGAATATTTCTTTATCAAGATATATAAAATTTTCAAACATGGTCATTTGCCACAAAAATCAAGTTTTCTTGAAAATTTAGTATCTGAACAAAGAAACATTCTTTTCGGCTAAAACATTAAAGATATTTTCAGAGTCATTATACCTATCTATAGAGAAAATTTTAATTTGAAATTACATTATTTGCTTTTTCAGTAACTACCTAAAGCTCCGTCATATCTTGGCATCCTCGTGGCCTCAATATGAGTTCAAATGATTGGTATCAGTCTCGGTATTTTACTTATCAGAAATCCAAAGTTCGAATTTCTTTTGATTTGACAGAGTGATAGAGCAACTAGTTTTTCTAGATAATGATATATATATTCGAGCTTTCCATGACATTATTTTAGTGAAAAGAACACTTGGGTTTCGCTTAGAATTGATATAGTTCAGTCAAAAAATATTGGATGCCTCATTTTCTAGAGAATTATTTGTTCTATCATCCTGTCTGATCAAAAAAAATTTTTGTTTTGAAGTTTTGAGTGTTGAAAAAATATGTTTTGAATTTTGAAACTACGGTGAGTATTTCTTTGTCTTTAAATCTCTTTGTTTTTTTTTGAAAACAAGTTTCTCTATCTGGAGTCACTGTGAATAAACTTAATCATGATAATTTGATTCAATATTAAAAATGAATCATGAAGTCGAATGATTCGAACAAAAATCTCTTTAGTCAAAGCAAAATTTGTCTTTAATCTTTCCTTACGATAAATATGCGTGACTACATTTCGAGACATTAAAAGATTATTTTATTATTTTTAGATCTATATCCTTAGGCTTCATCATTAATTGAATACGTTTAATGTTAACTCTATATTTTTCTAGATCATTCCATCTCCTCATATTATATTATATATTAATGATCAATATATAAAATAAATAAATAAATGGATTTCAAGCTTACTAGTTAGTGTAGGTAATTCATTAATATCGTTTCTTGTTAAAGGTAAAGCACGAATATCATCATTTAACATTTGTATGAATAAATCTGGATTAAAATTTTCTCCATTATGATCAAATACAAGAAAATGTAATGGTAATTGAACAAGGGCTATATTTGGTTCATATTGGGTATTTAATGGTTGTCGAGATACTAATCCATTAATATTTAAAAGTGATATTTGAGATGCTTGAGTATTAATAACTTGAAATGGTAAGAAATCAAGAAAAGGTATATATCGATGTCTTGGTAGAGAATGTGTAATACGTTTAATACGTCTTGGTGGTCTACCACGACGATGACGATGTTGTGAAATATCTGTTTGTGTTTGAGACATAAGCATTGGCAATAACGTATTAGTAAATGATTGTATATCATATGTATTATTAAATAAATTTTCAAAATCATGAATTGATGGTGTTTGTTGATGATCATTATCATTTGATAATTGTTGAGTATTATGAGTTTCTGTTGATGTTTCTTCGAGAAATTCTGATTGACATTGTATACATCTAGTTCCATTTATATTTATTGTGCCACAATTATGACATAAATAATTTGATGTAGAAGAATGATCGTTGGGAGTGGACATTAAATAGAAATAAATATTCGATTAATTAAATAGAGCGCCATTGTTTGTTTTTTATATTTAATTAATTTGTCTGTTTTAGATAACTAAAGATTGAGTGGAAAATTTCTAGACAATTATTTTATCTACGATGGTAGAAGATACAGAGTATAATTCTTTATAGAATTTTAAACTTTTGCAAACTATTGAAGTGTTGTACTAAAGTCTATTGCAAGAAAAATGACTATTTTTCTTATTTTTGGCAGTTTCAGCACAAAATAACCTTCTCTCACAACTCTGCGATTTGTTTTGTAGATTAACAAAAACTCTTCATTCTTGCCTCATTTTCTAAAGTAGAAACCAACTTTAAGCATTAGATATTTACAGAACTGATATGATATAGACTTGTCTCCAGAAACATAAGATTTCTTTTTTGAGTGTTGTTAAGATTTACTATAGCTCAATAGTTATAGAAAAATTCTACATATCTATTCTGAAAAAAATAAAACATTCTAATTCTAATACACTACCAATGCATTTAATTAAATACGTGAAAAATAGTCAAAGTATTTTATCTAGAAAACTTTCCTTCACCTCTTATCGTCAATCGACAGGTGTCCCACTATATCGGCTTAAGACGATCCATGTTTTTATGTTGCATGACTGGTTGAAAAAAAATCGATAAAAATAAGAAATCATAATAATCATTTTTATTTTTAGAACTTTACAAATGACTGAAGAATCTAATGATCTTCATGGTATGGTACCAGACTCAAATGAAATAGCATTATTACTAATTGATGTTATTAATCATTTAGATTTCGAAGGAAATGAAGGTTTAATATAAAGATTTTTTTTGCGTATTAATATAATAAATTTTGATTCTTTAGAACTATTGAAAATAGTTGAACAAATCGGATCACATATTGCTGAATTAAAAGAAGCAGCACGTAATGCTGGTATACCAATCATTTATGTTAATGATAATTTTGGTAAATGGAAATCAGATTTTCATAATGTTATTGAATATGTTATTAATGAAAATAAACCTGGTAAACATTTAGCTCAATTATTACATCCACAAGAAGATGATTGTAATTTGTTTTTTTTTTAAATAGATATTTCTTTTTTTTGAAATAAGTATTTTTACTATTATTTAGATTTTGTTCTTAAACCAAAACATTCAGGTTTTTATTGTACTCCACTTGATCTATTACTCAATCATTTAGATACAGAAACATTAATTCTTGCTGGTTTTGCTGGAAATATATGTGTTTTATTTACAGCTAATGATGCTTATATGAGAAATTATAAATTAATTGTTCCAAGTGATTGTATTGGATCAAATACAACTAAAGTAAATTGATGTTATTCTATTTTTGCGCGAAAAAAGAAATTATTTGAACGTATTTGTATTTTTTTTTTTCACAGGAAAATGATGTTTGTTTAGAACAAATGAAAAAACTACTTAAAGCAGATACAAGACCATCAGTTGATATAATAAAAGAGATTGAAAAACTGCGAAAAACTAAAAGTACTAATGAAGAACGAACAAAAACACGAAAAAAAATTATTAAAACATAGTAAAGTTCTTTTTTATTGATATATATCTAGTCCAGCTGTAAGTTTTCTACTTTTATCATATTTTTATATCAGAAGTTATGTTATGTTATTTATTTTTAACGTAGAAGCATATATTTTTTTTGTTATCTGTAATTTAAGTTTTTCTTTGTCGTAGCTTTAGTGTATAAATTGCAAAAACAATAAATATGTAATCATAGTTTGCTAAAGAACAAACTATGATGCAAAGAAATAATATAATTTCCATCTATGGTTCTATCAAATTTAGTCCTTAGAGTTTGCTATAAAAAATTAATTGAAGAGTGCTTCTCATGTAGGGGCGACATCATCCAAGCTGTTTATATATTTTTTTGCTTATCTTTTTATTTGAAATAATTATGTATTTCCACGTTCCCAGCAGTAAAATACAAAAGTGACGCCCCTAACTTTTGACATATCAAAAATATTGAGATTTTGAAGAAAAAAAACCATAGAAATAAGTTATTCAAGATTTTGTTCGATCATATGTTCAAGGTAGCTACTCGTCTGGTTATTTACAAAAAATTACATTACTCTCTAAGATACTCAAGATTTAATTACCCTTGGAAAGTATTTGTTTATTTGGCAAATCAAACTCGACAAAAAAAAGGTTTTACTGATTGCTCTATACCTGATTATTTCGTACATATAGTTTTAATAATCATTTGCATGTGGTTCTAAAAAATAATTTTTATGACGAAAATCAAGCTTCCTAAAGAGGAGCTCTTAACGACAATAGTTTTACGTGAAGACGCCAGACCTCGTCACTGTTTCTATTCTAAGATACAACTATAGTAATAGGGTACTTTTTAAATAGCTTATATAAACTAGCAGATTTGATGTTCTTATTTCAGCATAGAAGCAATTCAAAAGATCTGAATCTTTCACAGTACGAAGCTGTCTGTATGGTACGTTTCAAGTCACAATTTATAAATCAGTTTTTCTGTTATTAAGAAATTCATGTCACAGAGAATACCTTAAAAATGCAGTATCTCCATATTAATAAGCGAAGAGCATGACCTCTGTTCAATTTATTCATAGCTCATTTGCATCTCCATAATGTGCATAGTTTTGACATAAAAGTGATTTGTGAGTCGGAGAATTCTTCTCATTAAATTATAAAAAGAAACGAAGGAGACTTCATTTGATTCTACTTTTCTTCTCCTATATGTATATTCATTTTCTGATTATGTTTTCACAAATACTAATGAACACTCAATATTAATTTTTCTATGTTTTTCACATCATTTTTGGTTGTGTTTGTTTTTCTTGTATATTGGTAAACACAATAAATAAAGCTTGATATATACATTTAAAAAAGAAAACTTTCTCTATGACGCAACAATGAGCAAATAATGAAAAATAAAGATTGAAATGACAATACCACAATAGATGCTACTTATTGATGCCTAGCGGAGGACACAAACAATAACAAAAGTACGAATATTAAAATGTGCGTCAAAACAAAAAAAAAATAGAAATAAACAATATGAAAACCATCTATCAGACAATATTCAATTTATTGATAATGTTGTTGTTGTTGTTGTTGAACATAATGTTGTTGTGGATCAGATGGCATCATCTGTCATAATCAAATAAAAATCAAAAATAATATAAAAAAAAATTTTTTTTTTTTACTTGATTATATGCATTTTGTGGTTGTCTGTTAACATTCATTGTTTGATTGTTTGACCATTGTTGATTAGATATTGACATTGGTGTTTGATTTGGTGTTCGATTTAGAGTTGGATTACCAGCTGTTGAATTATAAACATTTTGTTGTTGATTACTTATCATATTTGGATAAACAGATGTTTGTTGTGGCATCATACTAAATATATGAAGGAAAAAAAAGACATAAATAAAAGAAAAACAAAACAACGCTATGTATATTTTACTTTGCTGGATTTCCAAGCATTGGATTATTCATATAAGGACCAGAAGACATTTGTCCTTGAGCGTACATTTGTGAATGAGATGCTTGTTGTGATTGTCCTTGTTGTAAATAAGTATTTTGTGGCATCATTACTGGATTTTGTTGATATTGTGGCATTGAAGCAACTGAAAACAAAACAATTAAAAACTATAAAATGAAATCTTTGTCTTGAAATTTTACCTGTTGGTTGAATTGTTATTTTAGCTGTTGTTGCATATTGAGTTTGTTCATTCGTATACATAGTTGTGTCACCTAATTTTCTTTTAACTGCAGAATTACTTGTTTGTCGATTTGCATTTGGAGGCATTGCACTAGCACCTGTTGATGAAACCATGATTGGTGTTTGATCAGTCATATATCCAAGTGGCATTTGTGATGATTGTCCTTGCTGTTGTTGTTGTTGTTGTTGTTGTTGTGATGTTGGTGGTTGTTGTATTGTTTGATTTGAATATTGTACATTTGGACGACCAGGAACAACACCAGAAGTTCGAACATTTTGTATAATATGTTGTGGTTTCATTTGTGATGCATTTGGATAATTCGGTATCATTGGTGGTTGAGAACCAGATACAGTTTGTGTCCATGGAGGATAACTTGTTTGTGGATATATTGAATGTGGTGATGATGTTGGTTGTGTTGAGTAAATAGTTGGTGCGGTTGGAGCTTGTGCTTGAATTGAAGCAGCACGTGTTGATCCACTACGTGGCATACGTGGTGTACGCTTTGTTGGACCAGCAGAAGTTGCTGGTGGATGACCACGTATTTTACGTTCAGGTGTTGAACGAGGAGCTGGTACACCCATATGAGGTGATGGTTGTTTAACAGGCATATCAACCATTGTTGGTAGCATTGGTTTAGGCATACCTGATGTATGTGGAGGCATATGAGCACCAGGTATAGGCGACATAGAAACATATGAACCTGGACCTGTTGACATTTGACTATGAAGTGATGGTCGATTTTCTCCAACAATTTCTAATTCTGGATGCTCAGGAGCTTCAGGTGGTATAGCTGGTGGATCCTAGAAAAAAATAAAATTCAAAATAGAACAAAAAAAACAAAAAACAAAACATCATACTCGAAAGTAAGTAAGACTTTTATCAAATAGATTATGTTTATGACGAAGTAATAAACGATATTGTTCTTCATATCTTAAACGTTTACGTTCAGTTTTTTTTGCACAAAACCATGAATAACAAATTGATGTTGCTGATTTTGAACCTTCAATCATTTCCCAACTATTAATTTTTTCCTTAAAAAAAAAAATGTTTTTTTTTTGTTATGCATTAAATTAATTTCAAATAAACTATACTTTTCGTGCAACTTGTAATCCATGTTTTTTCATTTCAGGATTTAACATTCGATTATTAACACCATCAAATGGTTCAACAACATATATATCAAATGATAATTTTTGTAATGGTAAAAATCTTTTAACTTCATCTAACGCTTCTGAACGTCTTTCACCAATATCTTTACGAATTTTTCGTACTAATGTCATATAAATTCGACTTGCTTCAATAGGTCCTTCAGCTGGTACTATTCCATGTACAAGAACACCAAGCATATCAAGTACAGTATTTAATAAAGGTGAATTATTTTTTGTATCAATAACACCTGATGCAATTAATTGAGAAAAAACCGAAATCCATTCTGTTGCAGAATTATTATTACGCTACAATATAAAAAAACGATTTTGTTTGAAATTAAGATGGCAACAGATCACTTCAGTATTCACTGTTACAGTTTCGAAAGTTAAATTAATTCGTTTTTCCTACATTAACAATAGAGTTGTTCTCGGTCGTAACTATTTATAAGCCTATAAATATATATCCTATTCTATGCTGAAAACCTTTCAGTTGCCTTTGTAAAAAAAAAAAAGAACAACTTACCACAATAGTATCAAACATTCCACCAATAAGACTAAGTCGAAGTTGAAGTGATTCAAAAATAATTATTTTCATATTTGGATCATCTTGAACAATAGGTGCCTAAAACAAAAAAAAAACAACCAAAACGATTAATATGATTTTATTTTCAAATATTAATGAAAGGATTTTTAAAAAAAGCATCATAGATATAGACCATGCAATATATATGTATAGATGTAGATATTTAGAGCGAAATTTCAATTACCAAATTATTACGATCTCAATGAAAAAGCAAGGAAATATATATGCGTGCATAGAAGCGAATAATCAATGTGAAAATTACAAAGAAGCGACTATATTCATATTAATACCAAATTATTCGAATAGATTTGCCAATCTGTTTTGTGACAATTGCAACGACAATCTGGATATGATTCTCCATTACCCATACCACTGTTACTACCTGTTGGTTTGACTGTTAATGATATATTTGAAAGACTTTTACCAGGTGGTGAACAATGTTCACATTCCTAATAGTTTTTTTATTTTTATTTTTGTTTTTAATAGAAATATATTTTTTTTGTTTATTCAATTCGAACTTACTTGTTTATATAATTGTTCAAGTTGTCCACGTAATGAATCAAGTAACCCTGTACGTTGATCATCTTGATCTTTTAAACATGATAAAACAAGAGATAAAAATGGTTGATGACTTAATAATGATATGCTTCGTAAAACTTGATTTTCTTTATCATTTTTACTTTTCGAAGAATTTAACATTGAATTACCATTTTCAAGTACACCTCCTATTTAAATAAAAAAAAATCAAATATATCAATTGTTATATGATATATATAAATATATATTGATTGATTAGAATTTTAACAAATGAATAAATCATTTTAAAATGATAATATTCAATAATTAAATTTACACATCTATTTAATAGAAAATTAAATTTTTTTTTTACCAGCTATTTGTAATATTCTACTTTGTACATTATCTGGTAAACGTGATATTAATGGTGCAATTAACCAAATTCCTTTTCTATCATATTGTTCATTAATTAGTGTTAATGATGATGAACTTCCATATCGACCTTCAGTTTGATGTTGAAATAATTCAATAGTTGCACTTGCTATTGATTGTAATAAATGTTGTGTATTATGTTCATGTGTTTTTAATGCTAATGATATATTAAAATTTGCATCTTGTGGTCTTGGTGATGGTACATTATATTCAAGAATTTTAATCATTAATTTTAATTCTAATATTGTTGCACGTAATGTCCATTGATTAAGATTTTGTAATAATGATGATATTATTGGTTTAGGTCCTTTATCAAATGATACTTTTGTTAATTCTGATGTTGATTTATAACATATAAAACGAAGTAATTGTTGTGCTTGTCCATCATCTAATAATTTATCACATAAATTTGTTTGATTACATAATGTATCAGATTCTTTTAAACAACGTTCTTGTATCCAATCTTGATCACAACATATTTTTAAAACACGCATTGATAAATCAACTAATTCTTCTGGTATTGGTTCACGATATGGACGAAATTCTTTTTCAGCTTGATTATTAACATCCATATTTAATGCATTTTCATGACGATCATTATCTTTATGTCGTTGTGTTATTTCACGACATAAATCATAATATATTTTACAATCTTTAAAACATGATTGACTTATTATTAATAATGATTTTAATACACATAAAAATGCACCAAATGCAACTAAACGATAATTTGATGCTAATAAACGACGTTCACGTGATGCAATCATCATTGACCATGGTATATGATTAGCACAAAAAAGATGTTCAATAACATCACATGTAAATCTTGTACCTGGTTCATTAGCTTCTTCACCACCTGAACCACGTACACGTGATAATGATGGATTTGAACGTGAGGCTAATGGATCAAGACGTTCTTTGGGTGTTGAAGCAATTATTGATTGAACACTAACAATAATATAATCATTTATTGATAATGCATGACGAGCTATTAATATTGATATAAATACTGATAAATTATCATGAATACATAAATCATTTGGCTAGAAGAAAAAAAGATATATATTTTAGGTTTGTTTTTGTTTTTTTTTCAAAGACTTACATCAATACGACGTAATTCATCAAAAACATTTGGATGATTTGGTGTATTTGCTGAACGATTTGATGGAGCAGAAGTACTTAAAGTTTTAATAGCTAATAACCAAATAGAACCAAGTGAGGAAACTTGACATGTTAATTCAGTTGCCAAATGTGCAATATCATGTATACTAAAAGTAGTTCGTTTAAGATAAACGTAAAATAATTTTATTTTTTTTCTTTGAATGTTTAAAGACAATTCTTCGATTCGAAAATGTACGAAAAAGAAAGATACTACTTCAAATTATTTTCTATAAGATCTTTTTATTATAATAACGAATGGGTTATAATGAATTAGAGTAATTGAAAATGTAATTTTATCAACATTTCTATATCAAAAGATGATGAATTTCTATATCTAAAAAATTTATTATTTAGCTTTTACAAAGATCTTTTTTTCTATGTCAGATCAACTAAGGCATTCATATATACTATAGATTCTTAGCGTGGAAGTAAAAATAAACGAAAATATTCTCGATAATATCATCTATCATTTCAAAACTTTAAATGACAATTTCATTTAAAAGTACAGAATACAGTTTTACATTCAGTTTATCGGAACCCTTTCAGGATAGTTTCCTTGTAATAAATTCTCCGTTATAATATAAGTCTTAACTTACTAAGTTAATGATTTTGCTTTAGCTACTGCAAATAATGTATTAATAACAAAACTAGCTCGTGCTTGTGGACTTTCATCAAGTTGTTTTGTATGATGAATTTTTTCTCGTTCAACTTGAAATTCTGTTAATGCTTTTCTAAATTTCAAAAAACAAAATAATTAACCACAAATAAATTACAATTCATATTTTTCTATACCTTGGTTCTTCAATAATACTAAGAAATGCTTGTGAATCCCATTGACAATTTGTACTTGCTAAATCTTGTTTATTATTTTGTGAACTTTGAGTATATAATTCTTTTTTAATTAATGCTATTATTTGTGTTACACGATCCATATATTTACTCTTTAAAATAAAAATAAAATTTAATAATGAAAAAAACAAAAAAAAAAAAGCTTTCTTTTCAAACCTTTATATAAGGACATGAAAAATATGAATCATGCATAAGCATAAGTAATGCACGTTCAACTGATGTTGTTCGTACAGGATCTTGAATATGTTGAGTTATTTGTATTAAACTGAATTTAAAAAAAGAATTATTTAAAAAAACAAAATGAAATTAATTTCATAAAAATGAAATCTTACTTTTCAAATACTTGTATCATATTATTTGGTGTTAATATTAAAACAGGTGTATAAAAACGAAATATTGATGTTATTTCTAAATAAAGTTCAAAACGATAACTATACATTCCTGGACTTGATTTTAATGAACCCATTGATTCAATACGACTAAATAGACGTAATATATCAACACATGTTTGCATTAAACCATATAAATTTAAAGATTTTTCCATTAATTCAAATAAGAAAGCAACATCATCAAGCCATGGTAAACGACTTGTACGACGTTCAATAAAATTTGTTAAACGTTCAATTAATAATTTACTAACACGATTTGTTACATAATATTGATCATGATATGATAATGATAATATTGATCGACGTATTTGTAAATAATGTGCATAGGGAGTTGAACGTGTAAATGGAGGACTTTCAGTTGTTGTTTCAAGACAATTACGTAATTTAAATAATGAACTTAATAAACGTACATTTGTTTTCAATTGACGTTTAGCTTCATCACTTAAAACATAAAATACAAGATTTCAAAAATGATTCAATTAAATAATACATAGAAAAGTAATTATCAAAATTAAACGTAAGAGGGATGAGGATTCTTCACTGATTCATGGCTGAGAAATTTGAAAATCTACTCCGTGACTGATGGACTCGTTAGACACTCTGATTGGATGCAAAATCATGTAATTTTAAAATCCTCGCAACAAAAAACTATCGCAATAGTAGCTTTGAAATATCTTCCATGTTACATTGGTTTGAAAAGAAGGGTGTTGGTGATACCGTCGCAAAATGCATTTTTAGTTACACCAAACTCTGAGACTCTCTATAGATTATGACTTAACGACGCCCATTTTCCGCGACAGACGTTATTGATATACGATCGAAGACTGTATATAAATAATCTCTCATTATTATACATGAAATACTTTCGTATTGCATTTCTGAAGAATTATATCTTAAAACAATCTTTTTATGTTTAGTAACAATAGCTGTATCGTGTTTCATATTTAAATTATGCTAACTGATTCTTTCGATTTTGAATTTCTTATAAAAATGTTTGGAAATAGTATCATAGAGAAATTTTCTACGACTTTTCTTTCTGAGAAAATTAATCAGATTAATAAAATTTATAAAGATTAGATGAAGCGAATTGGTATTGTTAGATTTATTATACCGTTTAGGTGTAATACCAAATAAAATAATTTTTCTTTGATTAAAATCATCTCGAAAATCTTCATCAAGTGGATATGGAAATTGTTCTAGATAAAATAAACAACGTTTTCGATTTCTTTGTTGATTATTAAAATCTTCATTTAATTGATGAGAATTTCTATTTAATTCAATTTTCGATGTTTGTCTTAGATAATTTTTTGGTGTTGTTGTTGGTGATGCCGCTAAAAACAAAAACAAAAAACACATATTTTATGAATTATAAATAAAAAAAAGAAGAAAAAAAAGCATTTTATACAATTCATTGTTTCTAATGGATCAAGATCGATTAATGTATTTGTTTGACGTCGATCAAAATTAGAATCAATATTACATGTATCATGTCTTATCATTGTATTATATACATGTTGTTTATATAAATTATGATTTGTTATCATATGAGAATTATTATTATTATTATTATTATTATTATTATGATTATTTTCATGATTATCATTATTTATTAATACAAGACCATGTGCAACAAGATTACACATAAATTGCATTGGTGAAAATAAATTTAAACGTATAAATTCTGAAAAAAGCATAACTAATGATGAAAATGATTGTGTTAAATCCGAATCATTAATAGATGTATCATCCAAAAATGGAGCTTTTTTTAATAAATATTCCATTAATGCTGTTTGAAATGGATTTATTTGATTATTTATTGTTGTATTAACATCTTTATCATCAATTGTATCATTTATTTCTTGTAAACGATTTATTTTTAATTCATTTTGTCGTCGTTCAAGTAAACGTGCTATAAAAAATGAACGATAAACACCATGTCGACGTGTTGTTATAGCCCAATCACACATTAAATGTATAACTTCAATTTCAATATCATTTGTTAATGGTTCAAATTTAAATGTTTGTGTATAAATTTTATTATAAACATTATCTAATAAATATTTTTCTTCTTTAAATTCATCAAGTATTTCAAGTACAGATAATATACGTGATATTGTTTGACCTGATATACTTTGTTGTAATTTTTCTGTTGACCATTTATGTTCAATAGCATGACTACGTAAACGTATTTCATCTTCTGATTGTATTAACATTTGTTTTATTAATTGTTGATCAATACCATTTGGTAATGGAAGTTGTGATGGTGAACATGGTAAAAAATCTAATGGTGAACCATAATTTAATAATAATGTATCTGATTTTTGTGGATCATCTATTGGATTATTATAAAGTAAAGCTGATGGACAACGTAATGTAATACATTGTATTATAGCTGATAATGAATAAATTATAATACGATGTTGTGGACATGATAATGAATTATTAAAATTAATTGGTTGATTTATATCTGTATGATATTGACCAAGACGTTTACAACAATAATAAGCTATTTTACGTGAAAATATTTCATATTCTAATATTTCACTACTAAATTGAAATACAATTGGAATTAAATAACGAAGATTTATGTCATCATTATGTTTAATACGATCAATAAATGCATCAACAATCCATTCAACTATTGTTTGACGATCGAGTAAACCTTGATCAAATAATATACGTAATAAACGATTATAATAATCCCATTGTCGACGTGTTTTATCTGTTGGAGCATTTGTTGATGATAATGAATGATGTAATTGAGGAGTTGAAGGAGCATATTGTGGTGTAATTGAACCTGAATTTAATGATATATTATGTTGTTCATTTGTTATTTCAGGTAAATGATTTGTAGAGATTTCAGGTATGGGAGTTGTACGTTGACTTTGAAGATTTTCTTTTATTAAACGATCAAATACTTCCTAAATAAATTAAATTAACTTTTAGACATATTCAACAAAACTTAATTCATTCAGATAACTAATAGAATGATAAAGAATTCTGAACACTATTACACAGAAGTAAATTCTTCGTTTAAATCTTCTTTTTTTCTGACTTGTGTTTATCACAATAGAACAGGTATTGTTAACTAGAGTGAATATGACAGAGAGAATTATCAATAAATATATAAGAGAATTTCAAGTATTGAATATATCAAGATAGAAGATACTAGTAAAGTTACAATTTGCTCAATGAACTAACATCATTGAGAGCTTTGTTTATTCATAGTTTGAAGTCAAAACATTCGATATTCTACATGCTCTTAGGGAGATGACAGCTTCTAATTGAGAAGTTTAGTAAAATTTTTGATACCTCAAGAATGAGAGTACGAAAAATCGATCTATTCTAGACTTGTTAGTTTATGAAAAATGATAGTCAACTATCGTTCTTTGCTTTTGTATTTAAAACATAATCATAATGAACTGAAACATAATAACAATATCCAATCCCTTATAGATAGAAGTTCATATTAGAAGATCGAGAATCTTTTTATTTTGGATGAGAGAAAATAAATATCGAAATAGACCTAAGGGGCTTATGACAAACTGAAAATTTATTGCTGAATAAGTTTTATGAACTAGTAAAAGATATATTAAAAATTGATGAAGAATGTATATAAAATAGTGAAAACAGTAATATGACTGACATGATAAATGAATGAAGTTATGGTTATATCCAATTAAAACTATTGAAAAAGAATCATTTTTTATTGAAAAAAAAAATGAATCGATGAACCTTGCTTATATTCATTCGTATTGAAATAAATTTGTTAAGTTTCAATCAAAGAAAAGAAGCATTTTACTTTTAAAATTTCAATTGTTATTCTTGTCCATTCAGTACATGGATCAGTTGCAACATGTCGTTTTTTTTGTTTTGAATCATTATTTGCACTATGATACAATGCCAACATTTTAATATACCAACAAGCACGTACAAGTGAAACATTATGTTCATATAAATGTTGAAAAACATCTTCTTTTTTAAGAATAATTGGTACCTTAATAACCAGGAAAAAAAATAAGTCAAAATGTTATACAAAATAAATTTTTTTAATTATTATACTTGTTTAGCTAATTTTCCAAGTGATTCTGTTGATGCTAATAATGATAGCCACTGTTCAAAAGGTTTAGCTGTTCGTGGACCCTGAAAAAGAGAAAAAGAAGACAAACAAGATAAAAATACTATTTTTTGAATTCAATTAAAACCATTAATGGCCAAAAATGTGCTTTATTGATTGTCGGCGGTTTTCGTTTAGTACTATCATTCATTGTATGATTTTCTTCTTTTTTGAGTAAAATAATTTTAAAAAAATCCAGAATACCTTCATCGGCATTCTTAAAAAATTCTTGACCTTTGAAGCCTTCATGCTAAAGAAAAAAGATTCAAATCATATGATTTAAAAATAACTAAAATAAGAAAAATTTTTACTTCCAAAAGTCCATCAACAGGCTTAAATGTAAAACCATTTTTGACCGTTTCAGCTGTTAACTCATCCTTAACAAAAGAAAATAAACATATATATATTAATGTGGAATTGAATGTTGGTCTTTTTTATGTCATAGTTCACCTCTCGTTGTTTCTGCTCTTGCAAAAATACGTCTGGTAAACCAAAACGTGATCGTCGAGTTGCTCGAGCCATTATTCACTATCAATTTGGAAAGAGAATGAAAGAGGGAAAACAAAACAAAACAATAAATGTTATGTCAATCAAATCAAATTAACCAATCACTATGTATTAGAGTTTTTATTGGTCGAATGTTTTATTCAATAAGATTTCACTGAGATTATTTTAATCAAAATATCGATAATGAGCTCTTAATAAAATAATCTGATCTAACATATAAATATGACAACTGATATTTTCAATTTAACGTCGACTCTGAAAAACTTCATAAGTTTTTTTTTCTTCATAAACTAGCGACAATTTACATGTACGATGAGGTTATGCAATTTAAACTTGTGTGGAGATGATGAAAAATACAAGAAATGACGGAAGTAGGAGAACATGGTGTTGATCTTTTCTTTTGCAATAATCACATATGGCTATTAATTTAGTGGAGCTGTTTTAAGATGATTTTTCTCCACTGTCAAAAAGTTCTCCATCTTCCGATATTAGATAGTGAATACCACAAGACTCTAATTTTGATCACATCAATTAATGCGAGTAGTATGTTCAATATGAGTTAGATAGTACTGCTCACTTCAAATGAGATCATTCATTACATTTGGTATCTTACAAAAGCTGATTCCAAGGATAAGACGAAGGAAGACTTTTTTTGCAAAAAAAGGTTCAAGACAATCTTTTTGAGAGCAGGATTGAGAATAGAATGGGAATTTTTTCTCATGAAGAAAATACAGATACTGTTTGATGAAATATGAATTCAAGATACTTTATACGTGGAATAGGAAATAGGATCGAGGAAATTCTCATTGTTGATGTTTTGCATCAATAGGAATTTTCGCTTCTGACTTCCTTGTTGAATTTTGTCATACAAAAATTTTTTCATGTTTTTATAAAATTTTAAATAAGAGAAATTTCACTGACATTAGATTAAGCTGTGTGCTTCAAGATCGTTTAAATTTTTTTAAATACTCTTCCATCATAGCTATTAGTAATTTTGATAAAATACCATTGTCATAAGGGATTTTTTCCATCCTTGATTCAAAATAATAAGAGAAATAATAAGCTCTGAAGCATTGTCGACTTCGATGAAATCGCGAAGATCTTAATAATGTAAACTCACAATTTTGTTTTTGAAGAAACAACTTGCTATGAAAGAATGAGAACCTCTTAGGTGACCTAATGCAAACATCGGAAAAGATGAATTTCTAATCGAACGTTGTTTATTACAAAATCAGACTATATATCGGAGAGCACAACATGAAAAAAGTGCAAGAAATGTGATGAGAGAGAAAAGAGAAATCCAGATGAAAAGTAGAACAGAAAAGCAAAAATTCATATGACATGAATGAGAATAAAGAAGAGAATGCGGTGTAAAGGGAACATTACAGGGTGAATTTTTGATCTTTCCGTGACAGTAACATACATATGAGTGATATAAAATTAAAAATGTAAAATTTACTAATCAAAACGAGAATAGAAAGAGAGAAACTGAGATGATATAATAAAATAGTCATTAAAATCAATTCAAAGTTTGAAAAAAGTACCTTTATATTGCACGACTTGTCCCACAAGACGACTTTTTCAACTTATATAATCTCGTCCCAATCTTTTGTCGCTTCGGTTCATATAGTTATTATGGTTGAAGCGAAGGGTAATGCACAGTGCCTTTCTTCAATCAATAATTTTTTTCCCATAAAATGAGTGTTTTTTGCCGGGAAAAGATGGTGTCAACCTACAACATCCCACATCATCATATTTTTGACTCACTTCTTTTAGAATGTCATCGATCGAATTAAATCTCTTTAAGATACTTCTTCTATTATTAACTAATGTATTTAATAACTGCACCACATATATATAACAGATAGTGCACAGAGAATGAGACACTTGTCGTTTCTTTTTTTTTTCGGAGTTTTAGATTGTTACAAAAACAACTATTCTCAGATAAATAAAAAAAAATATAAATCTAATAAACGAAAAACATTATGGCTTCATACCCAATAACAATGAAATGTGCTAGAAACGTTGATACTGAATTCCATAGCATTTTTTTCACGTTTATCTTTCGTCCAATTGAAATTTGTACGATCTCAATTTTCTTTTGATCAAATTCATTTGTGAATACAGTCTTCACATATACTTTAAATAAAGCTACTTGAAGTCTACGAATAAGAAAATGATTTTTTATTGATATCCATGTTTTCTCGCTTTGTCGACCAATTTGCAAAAAAATAATCTATGGCTTTCTTTTCTAGCGTTAGTTCTGAGTAAGCTACTGTTTTCATCCGAACATGGACAAAAAAAAATACTATCAAAGATCACCGAAGACGTAATAGCATGAGTTTAAAAGAATGAACTGGCGAAACTGTTCCTCTATTGTGATATAAAAATCTATTGTCTTTTTTAAATATAAAATATAATAATGTCATTTTTAGAGAAACCTCTTATACTTGTTTCTCTGTAACATAATGACTATGGGACAAGTTCGTTTGCGATTTTACTCTACTCTATGAGCCTTATTAATCGGTAATATACGAGCTCAAATGAACGACATAAATTATTGATATTCCCTCGTAAAGCAAAATAAAGAAAAATATGCATTTACAGTTCGAGCTATCGGTACGAGTTGAGTAAGTGTATAAATTTTACGGATTCGAGTACGAATAGTTGTACCCACGTTGCATGTGTGTCCACACTACTGCCGGTCGAAGAAGATCTATCGGTAGAGTGTGGTAGAATGGCGATCAGAAAGATAGTCGACCGTTTAAGTGTCAAGCTACTACCGGTATAGCGCACACTATACCGAACAGTCTGCTAATAGTTTTTGTCCGACTTAAATCACACGAATATTTTTTTTCTATGATGGAACAATATCAACTCGTATTTCTCTTTTTGTTTAATAGTTTTTAGTCTGAAGAAATGATGGTTTTCGATTAACAGATCCATATTCTAATAGAAAAGAAAATACTCGATCGTTTTCATCTAAGTTTTTTCCTAGAAACTTTGGAAAAGTGAATAAAAATAGAGAATATAAGTGTCGTTATTCAACAGACCTATTGAGTTAAGTATTATTTATTGTGATTTCCAGACTAAGTTAACGAACTTAAGAATTATGTTATGTTTTTATTTTTTTGTTCATTCTAATTTTAATTTTCAAGTAAACATTCAATAAATCTGTAAATAAACACAATATTGTTTTTATTTTATTTACAATTTTTCCTATACAAGACAAAATTAAAGAATAATATATCCTTATCATAACTATTCGTTTCGTTTAAGTATAACACGTAATTTATGAAACGGATTGATTGTTTTATCAAATAGAGTTGTTGTATGTGCACGTGGTTCAAAACTTCTTGCACGGCGTCGTGGTGAAGTCGTGGTTGTTATTGTTGTTAAACATGTTTTTTCATTTGATTGACTTGATGGTGATGGTAATAGTGGTTTACGGACAAAGGTTGCTGATGCCATTGGATGAGCATCCGTATCAAGATGTTCATTGTATGTTAATGGACGAGATATTCGAAGCTAAAAAATGAATGAAATTGTTTTTAAAAAAAAGCAACCATCAAAAATCAGTAAAATTACTTGTTTAAATGTTGGACGAAGTTGACGATCATCACACGTTTTTTTATTTGATGTTATTGATGATGGTAACGCGACATTCTAAAAATAAGAAATATAAGATATATTATAATATGTACTTTTATCACAAGGAAAATTCATCTGATCAAATAGTCATACTTATTTTACTGTGTATCATGTTGGTACTAGAAGACTAAAGTCTGTTGCTTAGGTTCCGAACCCGGTCCAAAAAATTCGGGCTTAATAGGTTCAAGTCGTCTGAGTAATATGTAAGATATGCTAGTTATCGAAGACAAAAAACCGCAAAAAAAAGTATCTCATATCTTCAGGATAGCTATCCAATTTTGCTAAGAAAATTTCATTGAGAATCTCAAAGTAGGGTTCGACTGGGCTGCAGTTCGAAAATTTTGATCTCTCTAGACCCTAGTGCAAACTTGTTTTAAGTTTTCTCTTAAGAAAAGTTTATTTTCATAAGAAAAATCGACATTGAGATAAATGCGTCGGGAGACAACTCAAGATCTAATCTCTCACAAACGATATGATATTTTATTTCGCATCAAATCTTCTGCTAAAACTTCTGTCATAATCTGCTTATCCTTAAATTCTCGAAGCAGCTTCACTGGGAAGCTGCAGTGGCCGTTTTTTAGAATTAAACTTTTTTATTATCATATAAAAAAAAGCACTTCAATAAATAGATGACCAGTTTTTCAAGATACTGAACTTGTTATCATTCTTCTCCATATAAAAAGTCAGAATTTCAAAAAAAGTGGCATTGCAGTCTGACCTATTCTTTCAAATAAAAAACAAATAAATCTATAGAATGAGAATCTACAGAGAATTTCATGCGACTTGTATGGATCTAACCTAGAATCAAGTTTCAAAGAGGAATCTTCAGAAGTGTCTTGAGTAAGTCTTTAGATCATCACTCTAAAACTATTTGACATTAGCATTGCAGATAATTCAACATTTAGTAATTGTCCATGTAAAATTAGTTTGATTATTTTTCTTTTATATGAATAATAATTCAACGAAATTACTTTATTTTCTTTCTTTGATTTTGTTAATCGTCTTGCAACGATTTTTCTTGTATCCATTGAAACATCAAATAATTTTCCATGTTGTTCAATAAAGTAATCAAAAACATTCATTAAAGAAATATTTTCATCATGATTAATCATAATTAATTTTGCAAAAGCACGATAAATCTTTTAATTACAAACAAAAAAAATTAATTTTTGTTTGTAATAATTTTATATACTAAAAACTCTTACTTGTAATTTAGTTGTATCATTCGAACAAAAATGATTATTTCGTATACATTGTGTTAAAAAATAATGAATAACATATATAAATTGTCTATTTGATGATGTTAAATGAATAAGAGCAAGTTGAATAAGTTCTAATTCATCATTATTAATCTTTTCTTGATT